GGAGCTGTTGCCAGACGAGCCGTAGGAGTCGGAGCCGCCAGTGCGGCCGGAGGAACCGTAGGAGCTCGAGTTGTTGTTGCCGGACGAGCCATAGCTGGAGGTGTTGTTGCCAGACGAGCCATAGCTGTCGTCATCGTCGTTGTTGCGGCGGCTGGACGAGTTGTTGTTGCCAGAGCCATAGCTGGACGGGTTGTTGTTGCCGGAGCCGTAGCTGGAGCTCTTGTTGGAGGAGCCGAAGCTGTCGTCGTCGTCATTGTTGCGACGGCTAGAGTTGTTTCCGGAGCCGTAGCTGGAGGTGTTGTTACCAGACGAGCCGTAGCTGTCCTGTGAGATGTGTTAGTTATAAGACCACCAGCGGCTGATGAGATGAAGCTCTCATAACGTACGGTGTTGCCTCCGTAGGACTGTCACTCATGTTAGCAGGGTTGTCGCAATAACAGTTGATGAGCTAGACTTACGTTGTCGTCGTTGTCGCGGTAAGACATGATGATTATGTATTGGTGAAAAGGTTTTTGGGAATAATTATTATGAACTTTTAATTGAGGTATGAGCGAATTAACCACGGGAATCAGACGATGAGAGTGTTGGGGGAAACGCAGGTTTATACTACAAGCTACAAAGGTACCTACCACCAAGCTCTCTCTCCCACATCCGAAAAAGCTTCAAGCTACTTGCCTGCTAGGGAAGCCCCTCTCGACCCCTCACGCCATGGGAGATGAGGGATGACGTTTGCCATTCCGTCGGGAGCAGCTGAAAGCTCGCAGCGCGGAGCTACCCACCGAATGGCGACTCCGGGCTAGATGCCGTAATAGCCAGTGTGCGGTGCGTCTATTTTCGGCCAACGACAAAACGAGCTTGTTCCTCTGCAATTGAAAAATATGGATTTTGCCTCGCCTTGCCATCAACACCCCGGCACAGCCGCCCAGGGGGGGGGGGGGGGGGGGGTCGCCCGGTGCCGCGAGCCGGGAAGGGCCGTGCATTTCGCGGGCCATCTGGTGGGCTACAGCTTGCGAGTGGTTCTCAGCGAGAAAGTTGTTGTCTGGTGTGTGCGAAGTAGCTTGGAGGAGAGAGTTGTCGCTAGCTGCAGATCGGAGCTGCGCTAGGAGAAGGGGAGACAACGCGCGGCGCAGCAGCGAAGCTTGTTGAGCTGGCCCAGCGGCCGCCCACGGTGTCAAGGTGTCTGGATGGCATTGGCATCTATGGATCTAGTTAGTGATGCTGCAACTAGTTCAACGATGGCGCAACTGGGGTGAAGCCATTGGCTTGGAAAGGTAGCCTGCACCAGAAGGAGGGTGGGATCTCGCACTGAGTATGGCCTGCTTTTCCGACAACTCAGTACTTGTGCAGAGTCAGTCGCCCTCAGCAGTTCCCCATGTCGAGCTGGGCCAGCTCGTCAAGTTGTGGCTGTGGTGGGATTGGATCGTCTAGACTTTCTAAGGAGGGGTTCGGCCTCGGCGGGGCCGATGCTTGCTTTTGCTGCCGCTGCTGTTGCTGCACATGGGCAGCTCCGTCGCCTTTGGTTGGGTGATTTGCATCTTCGCAGGTCATTCCATGCCAGTCACAATCGTTTGCCAGGGTCTGGCTCTCTGGGGAAAGGAAGCTTTGGGCTCGATTTCGGGGTTTGGATCAAGTCGCGAGCATCTTAGGGGTTGATCGACGAGGGAGGGATTATGTCGTCATGGCTCGAGGTGCTTGCGAAGAGGTAGATTGATAACCTAATAGGCTGGGAGAACTGCGTGATTGGATTGTAATGAGCTTTCTCTCAGGACTGGTGATGAATTATTTTCCAGTTGCTTGGAAACTCGGTGCTGGTGATGCTGAAGAGGGGAGAGGGGTAGCGGGGGCAGCACCAAGGGACTAGGTGGGACATCAGAGCACCCAAGTATGCACCTGCCTCGTACGTTGCTGTCATTTCTACCAGGGTCTTTACCAACATTGCTCCTGCGGCTGCTAGGTTCCTATTGACTGAGAGTTACTCTGGGCAATCATGTATTTGCAGAATCTGCTGTAACTTCCGCGTGCCTTCTTTCCCCTGCAAAGCGTAGCCTGCAGGCTCAAGGGTGCACGCACTGCCAGGGCCGAATACGACGACCTGCTTACCCTGCATACACCGCTGAGCGAGCACAGATGATGCAATGCAACGAACCCCTCGTCACATCGGAAACTATTCATCCCAAATACCTGACTACAGAATCTCGCGCAAAAACTGGTCGGCCTGTGATTAGTCTTTTTGTGCCCCTCTCGTTCCCGCCCTCTCCCTTCTCACCAGGGTCATTAGCTCGCTGCAAACAAGCCTTCATCGCCGAATTCCCGAATCACCGCTCTCACTGTTTTCCACTACAGGAATTGTTCTCTCACAGATGCAACGATGGCATCTGAAGGCCCTCTTTCTCACCAAGCTACAGCGTGATGAGAACAGAATCCCACATCAAACAACATATCGCCTTCTTCCAGTATCATCATGGTATATTCGCTACATTATGCTCACTTCCAGCCACATATCATACAAAGTTTTACCACTCCCTTCCAATCTACAGCTTGCTGCTCTCCGTCGGCATCAGCGCGCCGCTCATCATCGGCACCTCCACCGACCCTCCGCCCAGCACCAGCTCCCGTCCGCCTTTGGTCCCCCACCAGGCCACGCCCATCGCCGACCTCTCTACATCCATCTCGCCGTTGACGAGTATATCCCAGAACCGCTCGCGCACCGGCCGCCGCAGCCGCGGGTCCTCGATCGCATGGAGCGTCCGCGCCGCCACCGCCATCCACTCCTCCACCAGTCCCAGCGGCAGGAACGGGAGCGCGTCCACCAGCGCCAGCACCAGCGCGCTCTGCGCCGACTGTAGCACGCCGCCGCTTTCCGTGGAGGCCGCCTGCGCCGCCTCGGCGTCCTCGGGCGCGAGCGGCGCGGTGGGAGCCTCGGCAATCGCCCCGAGCAGCATTTCGAGCAGCGTCTCCCCGAGAAGCGGCTCCTGCGCCGCGATCGGGAACGGCGGCGACACCATCTGCATCACCGTCTTGAAGGCCACCCGGAACTGCCGCGCGGACATTCGCTGCGGGAACGACTCGAACAGCCGGACAATGTAGAACGGCGCGAGCTGCATCGTCAGCGCGCCGTGCTGCGGGCACGAAAGGACCGACAGCACCGCGCTGTGTGCCGACTCGAAGATGTGCACCATTGTCGGCGACATGGGCCCGTCGAAGTTTAGGTAAGATGTCGCCGGCTTGATAATGAGCGCATCCGCCGCTTCGGTGGTTAGCGCCAGCGGCATGTGCTCCGCGACGTTGAGGAAGTAGAGGTCCAGCGTCCGCTGTAGATGCGCCGACGGGACCGTGAGGCTGTCGGCCGCGACGGGACGACAGTCGCTGAGAAATTTTTCGCAGGCTGCACCGTTCCTGCAAATAATGTCGAGCGATGTAAGATATGTAAACGTGTACACCTGAAAGGCATCATTGCCATTGACCGATGAAATAAAGTAGATGTTGCGCAGAATCTGTAGTGACTTGGCCGCAATGTCCACGGCGACCGCCTCCTGCCGCATGCGCGGGTCCAGCAAGCTCCGCGCCATCACCGCCTGCAGCGTCGCCACGACGGCAAACATCATCTTGCGTAGCACCTGCCAGAGCACCGGCCACGTCGCCTGCAGCGTGTCCGGGTCGAGCTGCGCGGCCGCCATCGCCGGCTCGACCGTGCTCAGGCGGTTCGCGGCCCACGCGTCGAGCAGCCGGTGCGAGAAGCGCAGCAAGTCGTCCTGCGCCTGCATCACGACGTGCGCATCCGCCGCGTGCGCCACCGCAAACGCCAGTATCTTGGCCAGCGGGCCCATGTTGCTCATCACCGGCCGGCGGTCCCTCTCCACCAGCGCGGCGAAGGACGGCGCGTGCTGCGGCCAGCTGCACCGCCCACCCGCACCGTCGACCGCGTGCGTCACGTCGCGCGCCACGTCGCGCAGAAAGAGCCCGTCGTCGCAACCCTCCTCGCGCAGCACGGCCCAGAGCAGGACGGGCAGCAGCGCGCCGCAGTCGAGGCGTGCGCGGTGGTGCTCCGACAGCAGCGGGAAGGCGTAATTGAGCGCGAGGACGACGGCGGCCTCGGCGAGCGGGCCGTCGTCGGCGTGCGTCTGCAGGGCGAGGTTGGCGGCCGTGACGACGGCGGCCTGCAGGGTGCCGCGCAGCGACGGCGACAGCGTGCGGCGCTCATTGGACTCGAAGCCGACGAGCACGCCCGTTAGCACGAGCAGGTGGCGCCAGCGCGGGGAGCGGTCGTCCGCGCCCTGGACAACCGCGCGGGTCCAGTCATCAGGCTTTAGGCCGCCGCTCTCCCGCTGTTGCGGCGGTGGCGGCGGCGGCAGATGATTCTTATTCTTCTTGCGTTCGAGGGCCTCGGCGGCATCTTCGCGGACGCGCAAGGCGGCGCTGTTGTACAGGCTAACGACGCGCAGTGCGTGGGACAGGTCGAAGCCGGGGCGGTGCCAGACGGCGGGCGCGGTCAGCAGCTGCGAGGTGAGGACGCCGAGGTTGAGCGGGTTGGACAGGTGCGTGAGCAGGTGGACGGTGGTGCCGAGGATCTGCTCCGACTTGGCGTCGTCGTGGACGTCCTGGTAGTGCTGCAGGAGCGTGTTGAGGAGCCGGTCTGCGGGCATGGTTGCTGGAATGGTACGGGCGCACTGCCAGGCTTCGCAGGGCTGTTGATTTTTGTTGCTTTGTCGGTGTTTGTCGATGGCAAGTCGAGATGGCCACAGTCGGAGTCGGCTGGGTTCAGATAGGCGGATGCCGAGGTCTGTGGGACCCACCAGCCGTGACATGCGGCAGGGAACTTCAGGAGCTGTTGGCCAGACCCGCCGTTTGCATCCACCATCATCACCATCACGGGCAGAAACGCGAATGCTGCAAAATCGCCATTAACGTACCGAGATTATGCCTTGAAACACCATCCGCCCGCGCCGAACCGTGCCAGCGTCTTCGGCCCGAAACCGCCGCCATGTCGACCCCCCCGCCCGACTACAAGACGCCGCCGTTCCCGTCGCTCAACGTGCACACGCTCTCGGACGAGACGAGCGACAAGATCTACACGCTTTACCACATCAGCGACATCTGGCGCTTCACCGTCGTTTGGACCGTCATCGTCTACGCCGTCTTCCACACGGGCGCCGTCCTGGTCGCGTTCATGACGCACGGCTTCAAGCGGCGCTCGTGGAAGCTGCTGTGGGCGGCGCCGATTGTGTACCTGAGCGTCGCGGGCGTGGAGGCCGTGCTATCTGGGAGCATCGTAGGGCTTATGTAAGTTTCCCAGATCTGCTGGAAGAAGGAGGAGGGGAGCGCAGGCCGTTGCGTTGACGAGGGCTAACTTGGAGCACAGTGTTGGGGCCGTGTACCAGTCGGGCCATTACGAGATGAATACGTGGATCCCGTGTATATGGGGGTTCATCTGCCTGTTGATTCTCTTGATTTCTTCTTTTACGATCCAGGGAGCTCTGTAGGTAGCAGCCCTTGGCCGGGGCGGGGCATTCGGCACGAAACCGCGGCGATACAAGATACGAACTACGATTTTTGCATTAGCGTGCATTGTGTTTGCTTTCTATATGGCTGGGAGTCTTTTCTTCGGACACATGTCTTTGATACCAATCAGATCAATCGCGAACGCAACTCGCCCAGATGCGCTCGAGCAGGAACGCGTTTATCCATTGATCACAACTGAATCGGTGTGAGAATACTCTATTATAATACATTCGATATATAGCCTGACGCTCCTCTTAAAATGCTTACTACTCAATCCACCTGATTTTGCCTTAAATTTCTTTGGCTTCTCAATATCCAATCGCTCTTTGATCATTAGCGTCACAGCCATATTCCCGCCTAACTATTGTTCTCTGCATTGGCGTCACGAGCCCCACTACAGCTCCCCGTTCATTCATCAACAAACAGGCCAGACAAGGCAAAAACCAAAACGTATATCAACCAGCCACTACCACCACCTCCCCTTCGAAATGACCCAATAGCAAGAAAAACCACGCCCCAAACAACGTACTTCTGTTCACAATGGCCCAACCACCACCTCCGCGCCGCCGCCGCCCCTCAGCCGACAGCTCCGACTCCGACTCCGACGCCGCCTCCCCCGGCCCTCTACCCGCCTCCGTCGCCCTCTCCGCGCAGCTCTTCCCCGGCCAAGCTCGCTCCCTCTCCGGCGTCGCCCTGCGCGCCTACTGCCTCGGCCTCGTCTCCTCCACCTCCCTGCTGCTCCTCATCCTCCTCTCTCCCTCCTCGCCCCTGTGGCGGGCGCCCTTCTTCGCCCTCGCCCTCTCCGCCTTCCACTTCCTCGAGTTCTGGGCCACCGCGCGCCGCAACACGCTCGCCGCCACCACCGACAGCTTCCTCCTGACCGCCAACTGGCCCGCCTACGCCGTCGCGCACGCCGCCGCCTTTCTCGAGTGCGTGCTCGTCAACGCTTTCCGCCCCGACCGGCGGTGGGCGGGCAGCACGGTGGTGGTGGTGGTCGGGCTGGTGCTGGTGCTTGTCGGGCAGGCGGTGCGGTCGGCGGCGATGCTGCGCGCGGGGGCGAGCTTCAACCACCAGGTGCAGCTGGCGAGGGCGGAGTCGCACGTGCTGGTGACGGGCGGCGTGTATGCGTGGCTGCGGCACCCGAGCTACTTTGGCTTCTTCTACTGGGGGCTCGGCACGCAGCTCGTCTGCGGCAACGTTGTCTGCTTCTTCGTGTACGCAGTCGTCCTGTGGACCTTCTTCAGCCGCCGCGTGCGCGTCGAGGAGGCCAAGCTGGTCGAGTTCTTCGGCGACGATTACGTTCAGTACCGAAAGCGAGTCGGCACGGGAATGCCGTTCATCTAGGTGCCACGGTGTCGGCGGTTTAAGAAGGATACGGGCTCTTGCAAAAATGGGATAATTGTAATAAAATCATGTACGGTCATGAGGTTTTTCAAACACAAACACAGGCTGGAATTGAATTACTATACCTCTGGCTAAGAAGCGCTTCCATAAATTTGGTGGAAAATCAGAAAAGCAGTCACCATGTCCCAGATGCACCACCTACCTTGTCCCCGAAGGCATGGGCTGGCGGCTGACGCTCCCGTACTTGGCCTGCCAGGCGTAAAAGTACATGAGCGCGGCAAAGGGCTGGCCAAAGATGGTGAAGGAGACCCAGAAGATGGCGTTGCCGAGGACCTTGCCGCCGTTGCCCATCTTCATCTTCTCTAGTGGAGCGGTGAGCGCTATCAGGGGCAGCTGCAGGAACATGCCGAGGAAGGCGACGCCGATGATGTTGTGCGTGGGGACGCCGACGAGGACCTCGTGCAGGACGGCGGAGACGAAGAAGACGGCGAGGCTGGCGGTCGACGGCTTCCAGCCGCGGCCGAGCAGGGGCATGTAGACGTGGCGCTTGAAGTAGGTGTAGACGGGGCGGTTCCAGGTGCGCCAGTAGGCGCCGAGGCTCTCGCTGTTCCACCAGTCGTCGTAGAAGAAGCGGTCGCCGAAGCGGGTGACCTCGGCGAGCGCGTTGAGGAACGACTGGAAGATGGCGAAGAAGCCCGCGAGCCAGATGACGAGCGAGATGGTGGACAGCTTCAGCAGGCGCTCGAGGATGCTAAAGAGGTCGAGCGAGGCAATCTTGTCGAGCGAGTTGCGCAGCAGCGGCGCCGCGTACTGCGCGCTCGCGACCCAGATGAAGACGGACAGGCAAAAGACCTCGCCGAGGCGTTTGGCGACGAAGACCCAACGAACGCGGTCGGTGCGCGGGTACACGGGCTGGTAGACGAGCGTCGGCGCCCACCAAAAGTACGACATGTTGCTGACGGTGATGTTCTCCGGGTACGGACACGCCTTGTACAGCTCCGGCACCGACTCGCCCTGCACCGGGTGCAGGTAGGCGTGGCGCAGGTCGCGGTTGGTGAAGGCGTACGAGGTCGTCTTGAGCCAGACGATGAGGGCGTGCGTCTCGGCGACGGTGCCGACGAACGGGTGGTGCACGTAGAAGTAGACGACGAAGGTGGTGAGGGCGAGGGCGAGGGTGATGTTGATCATGTGCGCCCAGGCGACGACGATCCAGATGTTGTGGAACTTGCGACGGTCACGGTCCGACGGGCCGGTAGCGGTAGCGGTGGTGTTGTTTGTCGTGGTGCTGCCGCCAAGGGTACGGCGGCGGGATCGGATAGCTTGTCGTGCGGCGGCGAGCTCGATGAGGTAGGCGATGAGCAGGTGGCAGGGGATGAGGCAGAAGAGGCCAAGGCCGACGAGGACATCGTGGCGGCGAAAGTCGTGGCATTTGAGGCAGATGAGGACGCCATACTGGATAGTGTCAGCGAGCGAATTCAATTGACCTCTTTTCTCCTCTCGTCTGTACTAAATACCTTTTGAATATTTTCAATCATCAATCGCACATTGCCAACCACTGGGAGCAACGAGGCGTTAGTGAGGGGCACCACAAGGGCAGCCGCATGTCTCACGTCATACATGGGCGGCTCGTCACGGGCTCGCACAATGCACAACGTGAGCAGCAGCGAGGTTGTCGATCTCAAACCTACCGAGAACAATGACCATGAGGTTGCGGAAACCCAGGAAGCTGGGGGATGCCGTGGAGTCATGGCTCAGGCAGGACGGGCGGACGAGGGAGTGAGTGGCCTCGACGTGGCGATACTTAGGCGGCTGTCTGCGCGACGGCTCCCTTTGCTTCTGCTGCTGCTCCTGCTGCTCGTCGGATTGCTGCCGCGTTTTCTTGGACGCAGCGTTGCTTGTCGATCGGCGCTTCTTTGTCAACACAACGGGCGGCGAGGTTGCCACGCCGGTCGTCGTGGCGTCGGACATGGCTGGTGGTACGGGGGAGGGGTAAGCTGGGACAAACGGAGATGGCGATGATGATGCTGATGATGATAATGATGATGAGGGATCTAAATATGAAAAGAAACAAGGGAGACGGATAAGGGAAAATGGTGGCGGCCAGCCAAGGGAAGAAGCTTGGAACAAGGCGGCGCTAGCAAAAAAGAGGTGCTGCAGCTAGGAGAGCTTCTTGGTGTGAAGCGAAGCTGGAAGCTATCGCTATCGCCAAAGTACCCACTGAACCGAGTCTTAGCATGCGTGACGCTATAGATAGCCAGGGCGTAACTTGGGCGGGTGATTATCTATGTAAGTCTTTCACTTTTGCAATTTCTTTGTTCTTTCTTTTCTTTCTCTCTTCCATGTTTCATTACTTTCCTTTTCTTATTTTGACATTCATTGCGCGGCTTCAAGAACAGTCAATACCGTCCTGCCACAGCAAACCGGACCCCCCAGCCACGCCAAAGCCCGCCCGCGCCACGACCCGCTCGCCGGTGAGGTCTGGGCCCGCCGCCGCCGAACACACCGGGAGCACATGTGAGATCAATTTGAGATGGCATTTGAAACGATGCTATTAAAACGAAAAATAAAAGACGATGTGTCACCGTCATACTTTCTAATCTCAATCCTAGAAAAATTCGTCCCACAATGTTCTCGTTTTTGCGGCGCCAGCCCTGAAAGTTCTCGCTCTAACGTTACCTGCAGCCTCGTCCGCCACAAACGGCCATCGACCTCGATTCGGCACACACACGCTCTGCGGGTCATTTTTCTGCTTGCCTCAATTTCTTCGTCTTTTTTTTTCTTCTCCATTTCGGCTGCTTTTTTTAGTCGCTCGGCCGTTAGCGGTTCCTCCGCCCGCGCGCCACCGATCCGTCTCGTCTCCCAAAAGCTGAAAGTAAATCACCGACCCTTGTCAATGTCATCCACCGGAATTCCAGCCCGAAGCACATGTCAAATCTGACGGCGAAGATTCTGCATCTTAAATTCTGCAAGGGGGCCGCACACCGGGTGTTTCCGATACTGCCCCGGTCAGTGTAGTGCAGACGCTCCTCGGTCACCTTGCTGTGCTTTGTGCGCAATGGTGACAGAAGAGTCCACGAGACGCTGGGAACTAGGCACCTAATAATGTTCATTCGCCTCAACTATAGTTGAACGGCCGAGGCTAGTTAGCCCCTCAGAAGGCTCGAATTCGAATTGACTTGCACCAACGGTTGTACCTAACTAGTCAGTTGGTATGTAATTCGCGAGTGTAGCGTGCCTGACGTCGTATTACTGCATAACACGCGTTAATTGACTGCAGTATGGCTGCTAGATTATTGGCACACTGCATATACAACCATATATGTCACAACACACTGTAATAACACCATCATGTATACACGGTGATTATCATTAAAGCCTGTCTTGGGTGCATAGTCCCAGCAGACAACTCGTCACTATCCTAGGTGGCTTCACACCACTACACAGAAAAAGACAGACTTTTTTGCCATCTGCCGCAAGCAGTCGTAAGGAGCCATTTATAGTAGAGCAACGGCGACGGCGACAGCCGCGATGGCGCCGCCAGCGACACGACCGGCACCAGCGGTGACGGGCTGGCTGGTGGTCGGGTTGGTGGCCGTGACGGAGGGCACGATGCCGGTGCCGGTGGCCACGCCGCTGGAGACGGGGACCGCGGCGCTGCTGCTGCTAGGGGCAGAGGGGGCCGGGGCGGGGACGCCGGTGCCGCTGGCGCTGGGGGGGACAACGCCGCCGCCACCGGGGTTGATGGGAGTGCCCGAGGGCAGCGGGTTGGACGAGGCCGGGTTGGGCACAGGCTCCTCGCAGCTGACGGTGCTGACGGTGCTGGCGGGCTCCGGCTGGGCGGAGGGCGGCGGCTGGGGGGCACCGGTGGGCTGGGGCTGGGCAGACGACTGCGGCTGGGGCTGGGCAGACGACTGCGGCTGGGGCTGGGCAGACGACTGCGGCTGGGGCTGGGCAGACGACTGCGGCTGGGGCTGGGCAGACGACTGCGGCTGGGGCTGGGCAGACGACTGCGGCTGGGGCTGGGCAGACGACTGCGGCTGGGGCTGGGCAGACGACTGCGGCTGGGGCTGGGCAGACGACTGCGGCTGGGGCTGGGCAGACGACTGCGGCTGGGGAGCGCCGGTAGGCTGGCCCGCGGGCTGGGTGCCGACCTGGACCTGGCCGTCGCCAATCTGAGAGACGGGGGCGCCGACGTCGGCGGCAACGGCGAGGGCTAGAGGGGAGGTGGTGTTAGTAGCTGCAAAGGCCGCAATGGGGTGGTGGCAAAGACTTACAGGCCAGAGCGGTAGCGATGGTGAGGAACTTCATTTTGGCAGAGGGTATCACTTGAGAGAAAACGAGTGTGTTTAACGAAGTAGATGGAAAGAGGAAAGGAAGAGAAACAGGAACGGACGAGACGGATGGAGGAGCAGACTATATAAACTTGCAAATAAACTGGGTAGGCAGGTCACAACGCATACCGCGTCACAATGGATGAATGGATAATGGGCGGAGGAGAGCGAACGTCCAGGTACAAAGTTCGCGTAAAAGTAACAAAGCAGACAAATAACAAACGAACTAGAACAGGAGAGAGATGCGTCGATGATTCGTCGGCTGCATGAGCAGGGCAGCAAAACTAGCCACACCTCGAAACTTGATCGGCAATGCGACATACCAAGGTGCCGCCGAGCCGGCGGAGGCGAAAGGGGAGGCGGACGGGGGGGCCGTGGGTCGTCCATCCCACTCCCGATTGTCAATTCTGGACTGTCCGAGCCAATCAGGCCGCTGGTGCGCTTCGTCATGGACTGCCCATCGTTCGCGATCGTCCTTCTCCATCTGGTAGGTTCCCCCCGCGATCCCTCCTGTTCTGTAACAAAGGGGGGGGGGATTGTCAATGTGTCTCCTGTTTTTTTCTTATTGTGGCTTTCGGTCGAGAATCTTTCAGCTGATGATCAGGAAGAGAACAAGGAAAATAGCAACAGCGGCACACGATCCTTTGCCGTCCCGGTGTCTCTCCTGCAAGGCACACCCAGGATAGCCGGCGACGGGAAGGATGTTGTCGCCACCAACATTTACAGTTGCGCCGCTAACCGCTAGAAATGGCTCAGACAACGCATCGGCTCACTAAATCATAGGTTCCTTTTTTAGCTTTTCTGGTAAGTAGTTAGGGGAAAGATTCTGCGTGCCTGCCTGAGTGCCTGACTATCCTTACCGAAAGCAAGCGCTGAGCCCTCTCCACTCTCGACAAACTCAAAGCTCCCTTTTTGTCTCCCCTCCTTTTCGGAGTATTGGAACAAGACGGAAAACTGCTCAATTGATTTACTCATCGACCTGTCAGTGTGATGTGGGGGAATGACCGAGCTGAGCGTCGCCCATCCCACCCAGCCGCGCATTTCCAAGTCTCTCGAGTCAAGCACTCAGCGGAGCACTGTGCAGTGCAGCTGTCTTGCAGGTGGCAAGATGGGCGCGCAGCTGCATTTCCTGTTCTCCTGCATGGTCTATCTGTTTGCGCTCAGCACACCCTCGTGCAGGTGATTGTCTTTGTCTCTAGACTCCCCCCTTCACTGTTCGCATGTGAGGGCCGGGCAGGCCTCCCAGCCATCCCACCAAGTCAATGTCAAATCCCAAAAGATAAATAGATGCCAGCATCGAGGTTAAGAATTGGCCATGCCGTGGGATGACCATTTTTCTCCAATTTGACCATATAGGATTGACCATGTTAAACTACATCTTCCATCATCCTCGGGGTGCTTTCCGCGAGTTCCGCACTCCACGGCCGATGCAACGGCTTGGCATGAACCGGGCGCTCAATTTATCGTCAACATTGAACTCTAGAATCGTTGGCAAACTTATGCATAACCTCCCAGACCCTTTTTATTTCCAAGGCTTAGAAATCCAATCACGATGGCGTGCCGGCTCATCTACGTTGCGCAGTCAACTGCGGGCAGCACACCTACCCTGTTCTCCAACTGTCCGATTGTGATATAGTTACCTGCGGCCAATTTATCTGAAGTAAAGATAAGATTATAAAATCTCTATGACAACTTGCTGAACGGTATTTTCAACTGAAATGAATGTTAATGCCGATATGGCGATGATGTCTGCAGTTGAGCTGCGGTATGGGGTTGTCTAGAATGTATAGTTACAACGTAGCTTCCCCGCACCAGCAGTATGTTGCACCCTCAGCAACAGCTGGACCGTCACCGTTGTGAAACTTGTGTCATCAATGCCGGGCCCCTCGACGCCAGTCGTTTGCACTGGATTGAGTAAGAACTGCAATGGAACCTACGAAAGGGGTAACACAGCTCACGAGCGCGGGCATGCGCAGAGGTAGGACCATCGCCCAACGCCGACTGGCTCAACGACCAGCTCGCCATCTTCGTCCGCCGGGACAAGCGCCGCGCGCTCTTCCTCGAGTCGGTACAGCAAGGCATCATCCTGTACGAGGGCGACAATCTGCTCGTCTACGCGGGCCGCCTCGACTGGGCGCTGGAGCGCAAGGTGCGGCGCGTCGCGCACGCGAAGGACCGCCGGCGGGATAAGAACGTCGACACGACGGACGCGGCGGCCATCATCAAGCTGATGACGAGCCGCGACGAGTACGACACCCCGCTGACGTTTGAATTCGGGTTTGACGTTCCACCGAGTGACGAGGCCATCCGGCAGGTGGCGAGGTACTATAAAGAAACGTACGGCGACGGCGGAATCACGGAGGAGTGAGTGGGCATCGCACAGCTCATGAGATAAAACAGAGGAATAACCGCCAGATGGGTATCGATTCGAAACAAATGCTGCCGCTTATGCAGAATAATACAGAATTTGCCTCCCAAGGCATCAAATGCTACCGCTCATGCAGAATAATACAGACATTACCGTCCAGGGCATTATGTCAAACCAAATGCTGCCGCTCATGCAGAGAACACGACACTGAGGCCGAAAACAGGCCGCCGCTATACAGAGTAGAAGTCTCCGGTGGCTATGTAAATGTTGCGCCGGTGAAACGGACTGTCCATGTACGTGGTGCTTCGGCCGAGGAGCAGCTTCTCCGGGAGCGCTCCTGCCGTCGCCGTCCACGACGGACAAGTCTCTGGCGACGCTGGCGGCGGTTCCTTGTAGACGTTTGTGAACGGGGGGTCATCCCGCCGCAAGCCCAGGTTCAGCCGCCAATTGAAGCACTCCACCAGCGTCTCGACCGTCGCCGCCAGGACCGCGTATTGCTCCTCCCCGCCACGCCGCGCCTCCGGATCCGGGATGTCCGCCAACGCCCAGGCCGCCTGGCGCCAAAAGTACTGCGTCTCCGAGGCGATCAGCTCGCCGTCGCGCGCGCACACCGCCTCGGGGCGGGCGGGCGCGCGGCGGCAAACTTCCACGTCGGGAACGGCCACAGCAGCGCGAGGACGAAGAGGAGGGCGCCGCGGGGCGGCGGCGGGTGCCGGAGGGAGCGCGCGTACCGCACGGAGCGACGCAGGCCGAGGGGCGACTGCGTGGGGAGGAGACGGCGACGAAGCTTGATGAGCGGCCAGCGGTACTTGAGGGGCAGGTAGCGAAAGTTCCACAGGTAGGCGGCGATGGCCCTCAGACGGTCCATGGGTTGGGATGGGGGGTTGTGGGAGATGATGGGTCGGTGGCAGACTGTTGTGGAAGTTTGTGGAAGGTGATGGCCAACAGGGTCAAGTGGTGATGTTGAGCAACGTGTCTCGCGTTTCGCATTTGGACGGGTCCACGTGATTAATGCTGGAAATTGTTGGGCATCTAGCCACCAGCAATTTCTTTCAAAATTCCATGTTAATTGTTTTTGCTAGTATAAAGACACAGTTTAAAGTATTTGTGGCTAATGGTGCGTTGCACGGTGAGGAGTGCATCCCCTCACTCCTACATCGCCTCCTTTCTAGACTAGCTGACAGCTTACCTCTGCGTAACTCTCAGGCAACTAAGACAAATGGCATACTAAGTTGGGCAGCGACTGATGCTGTGGTGGATGACCTACTTGGCACCAGGTTTGTAGGTGCAAAACACGTCAACTTGCGGCAAAAAGAACGAATTTTTAAAGGCTAGAGAAAATTAAAATCCAAAGAATTATAAAAATTAAGCAAGTCATGCCAAGTCTACCAAGCAGAAGAATAATACAAAAGACTTTGTAAGGCAGGTGCAGCTTTCAGGTTCTTATCACCTTTGTGACTGACTACTAACTACATTAGGAGCTCTGGTGAAATCCCCCCTCCATCATCCATAATCCAACATCCATCCATCACCCATATCCACCCTGCCTTCAACCACCAACCGCCATCAACTATTCAAAAATCACCACCCACATAGGGACGATACCATGTCCTCCAGCAGAGAACGCCGCATTGTCAAAGAGCTGGCCGACATCAATGCCGATCAGGAAAAGACCCGCGTGTATGCTGCGCCCCATGACGGCGTCTCCCTGAGCACCCTTGATGGCAAATTCCAGGGTCCTCCCGACACGCCCTACGAAGGCGGCATCTACGAAGTCTTCATTGAGCTACCCGATGAGTACCCCTTCAAGCCCCCAGAGATAAAATTCAAGACCCCGATCTGGCACCCCAACATCTCCTCTCAAAGTGTACGTCCGTTTTCTTTCCACCTTCATTTTTTTCCTCGCTTCGCTCGACGCGGGGGCTTGTTGTCGCCATGTTTCTTGTTTGTCGCAAGGACGAGCAAGACTCGCATTTTCTCGAGCATGCGAGATGATCAAGGATCTTAGACGACTCTTGCTAACCAGGGATGGGTAAAAATCTAGGGCGCAATCTGCCTCGACACTCTCCGAACGGCTTGGTCTCCAGTTCAGACAATCAAGACGACGCTGCTCTCCCTACGGGCGCTCCTCGAATCCCCCAACCCGAATGACCCCCAAGATGCCGTGGTCGCCCGCGAGATGCTGTACGAGCCCGCCAAGTTCGCTTTCAATGCCCACTCATGGGCCGTCAAACACGCCGGCGCGACGCTTAGCGATAAGTTCACCCACGACCTCTCGGCGCCACCCCCCTCGGCCCCTCCTGCGGCGAAGGAGCTTGAGTGCGTAATACCCCCGGGCTTCCTTTCCCGGCAGGCTTGCTGCTCTCACAGCTGAAAAGGAACCCCCTCCCCTGACTAACCACTTGTCTGCAGATCTGGCGAGTTCAACCCGCGCCTTGTCGACAGGTTTGCGGATATGGGCCTCCCCAGACAAACCATCATCTCAGCGTTTCGGGATGTTGGCGTGCCGAGCCATCGTGCTAACCCGTCCTACGAACCCGATGGAGGGGTTATTGACGCCGTGGTGCAGCGGGTATTCGCCACGCAATAGTCTCCCTCGCATCGAATGACTGTGATGACCGCTTCTCTCTTACTCAAAGTTTTATTGATGCATTGATTTGGAGTTTTATCCTTACTTTTTTTGCCTTTCGCTTTTTTTTTTTTTCATTTTCATACCACGGGAGCCGACTTTACAATGGCAAACAGTCACATACTTTGATATACAACTTGCTACTTGCTATTCGTGACACAATCCCAATTGTATAACCCTTCAACTATTAGAAAGGAGTTGGTAAGACTGATGAAATGCTGGAAAAGACGTCGATTCTCTTTGGCGATATGACGCTGCACATGCGTAGCACTCGAGCGGATAGCGGTTAGTGTCTGGCACAGGTAGTCGGCTTGCAGTAGTGGCGTATATTCTACATTGCTTGTTGTTTATATGCTGACCTATCGCTAGGCAAGGTTTCTTGATGGCTGCATGGCATAGTCATATGTCTCTGTTGAAGCATGAAGGCGGGGTCAGGCTGACAAAAGGCTGCTCAGCTGTTCGCTTCCGCAGTCTGCCTGGATGTACCTCCAGCCGCTCTCCCCTCACCGCGAGGATAAGGCCCAAGGCTCTGACATCATCTTCTTCCCTGCTGCCCAACATCGTCCGACGTGGTTTGCACCGACCGCAATACCGTTTGACTGAAAGAGACGCAATATTCGACTCGACTTGCAACGACCCTGCGGCCGAGCCAGCTTTCTGCCTTTGCCATGATGTCCCTCAACGGTGCCAGCACGAGCCGAGAGCCTGCTGATGGTACGGGCCTGATGGCTAGGACTTCAAGAAGGAACCCGACACTTTCGCACAGAGACTACACCATTGGATGGATCTGCGCCCTGTCGATAGAGATGGCCGCAGCAGAAGCCATGTTGGATGTCCTACACAATGCACTGCCCAGGGCCGAAAACGATACCAATACCTACACGCTAGGGAGCATTCTGGCGGATGACGTCGCCCACAACGTTGTCGTTACGTGTCTCCCATCCGGGTATTACGGCAACAACAACGCGGCGGCCGTTACGAGCAATCTACGCCGCACCTTTCCCTCTGCTCGCCTCTGTTTGATGGTAGGCATTGGTGGCGGGGTCCCAGGCACAGCTGACATCCGACTCGGCGATGTTGTTGTTAGCGAAGGGGTACTACAATACGACTTAGGAAAACTTCTTGATGGTGGCCATTTTATGCGAACAGGTAGTCTGAAAAGCCCGCCACATGAGCTGCTGACGGCCGTTACTAAACTGCGAGCGAAATATGAGCTGGGCCTTGACCAAATTGACATGATTCTTTCCGGGATGCTGAAGCGACACTCGACCATGACACAGTATATCCGTCATCACTTACTACGAGATCGGTTATTCGAAAGTACATACAGTCACGTTCAATTAAACGGCCACTGGACAGATGACTGTGAGCTTTGCGATGAGTCCATGTTGGTAACGAGACCGCATCGAGCGAATTCTAACCCAATCATCCACTACGGGACTATCGCTTCTGGAAATCAAGTCATGAAAAATGGCAAGACGAGTACTGAAGTAGCACATGAGCTGGGTGCTCTATGCTTTGAGATGGAGGGTGCAAGCGTGATGGATGGCTTTTCCGGGCTGGTTATTCGTGGAATTTCTGACTACTCCGACTCCCATAAAAATAAGAAATGGCAAAGGGTTGCTGCTGCCACCGCGGCGGCTTACGCGAAGGAGCTCCTTCTAACTCTGCCTTCGGACACCTGCGCCCCGCTGCTAATGGTTTCGATTACCGCTGTCGATGCTGGTGAGAAGAGCTGCAGAATTCGTTCATCCTTTCCACCCCACTAACATCGATTCAATTACCAGAACGTCACAAAACTCTTTTAAATTCTTTGAAGTTTGAGCAAATCAATGCTCGACGTTCCAACATCAAGCCAAAGTCTTTGACAACGTGTCAATGGCTGTTGACGCACCCAAATTACCTGGACTGGCTGCACTCTAGCCAAGTTAACAAACATCATGGCTTTCTATGGATACAAGGAGGACCCGGCACGGGAAAGTCAACGATTATGAAGTTTGCTCACGAGAAAGCAACCAAGGACCGAGAAAAAGTGACCATCTCCTTCTTCTTCAACGCACGAGGCGGAGAATTAGAGCGTTCCACTCCAGGCATGTATCGCTCTCTTCTGTTCCAGCTCCTGACGGCGCTGCCAAGCCTTTGCGTGGTATTTGATGAGCTCGAGCACAAGGACACTCTCGATGAACTTCACGCAGCTACTTCAAGCAATGAAAACCCAGTATGGATGCTCGGGGTGCTCCAAGATTTGCTGCGAAGTGCACTGGCTAAGCTTAATCAAAAGCGTCTGACAATCTTCGTTGATGCTCTTGACGAGTGTGCTCCGAATGAAGTGGAAGGACTGGTCGAGTTTTTTGAATATCTCGGAGAAGACGCTGTACAGAGCAACTCGAAGCTTAGTATCTTGTTTTCTAGCCGTTACTATCCACAACTCGACGTCACCTATGGCCTCAAAATTTACCTAGAGGATGAAGACGGCCATGAAAAGGACATTGCCATGTACGTACGAATCAAGCTCAAAATCGGCCAGACCAAAACTGCCAAGGAAGTCAAAGCACAGATTCAGAAAAAAGCAAAAGGCATCTTCATGTGGGTCGTCTTGGTTGTTGGCATCCTCAACTCTGAATACCTTGGTGGCCGTATATTTGAGGTGAAAAAGAAGCTTGACGCTCTTCCAGCTAAACTGAGCGAGCTGTTCAAAGAAATTCTGTTAAGAGATCAGACAAATTTCGATGACTTGAAGCTTTGTATACGGTGGATTTTGTTTGCGAGACGTCCACTGCAACTCGAAGAGTATTATTTCGCGGTCGTATCTGGGCTCCACCCAGACGCATTGCAGGAGTGGGATTCAAAGGAGGTTACTCTGGATGACATGAGACGATTTGTCATATGTTCTTCGAAGGGACTTGCAGAGACAACAGAATCCAGGCCCCAAACAGTCCAGTTCATCCACGAGTCAGTGCGAGTTTTTTTTCTCGGGGATGGTCTGCAGGAGTTGTGGCCTGATCTTGCCGCGACAGACTTCGCGAGCGTTAGCCATGACCAACTTCGCCAATGCTGTGATATCTACTTGAAGCAAAGCTTGGATAGCATGATTACACAAGATCTATTACGTCTGTCTAACGGGTATTTACCATTGGATTACTGGGAAAATGAGGCGAAGCGTGACACTCTATCAGCCAATTTTCCGTTTCTAGAGTACTCAACCTCCCATACTCTCTACCACGCGAACGCTGCAGCCAGAGCGATTCCACAGGAATTGTTCTTGAAGAACTTCCCCGTCGAAGCTTGGGTTTCGCTCCATAACCTCTTCACTCTTCCTCGACTCTCCCGCTATATGCCTGAAAGGGGTCTTCTTTCCATTGTTGTGGAGAGTAATTTCGCGCAACTGATCAAGTGTATGTTACGACTTGACCCGAGAAGCGAAATCACCCTGCGCGACCGAGAATGGGCGTATCGTGCGGCTGTTGCTGCAGACTGGTGCCGATGTGAAGGCAATCTGCTGGGATGACGGGATCACTAGCCCAAGTCAGTAGCAACACGGAAGCGTCAATGATAAGCTGGGTTGTGACGGGAGGAAGTCAAGCTTGTGCCGGTACGCGTTGGACAGTTGGGCGTCTGGGTGGTGGTAGAGCAGGACCTCGAGAGTGAACGTGTCACTTAGTGTGCGAACGAGACTGTTTTTTGGTGGCGAGTCTCCTCAGAGCTTCTACAGATTGCTTCTTGCAGTTTTGGTCTTCTCTCTTGTTCATCGACCTGGGGGTTGCGTGAACTGAATTTGCATAGATCCACGCGACACTGCTTCGCTTCCGAGAGCAAATCGGTCGTACTGTTTGAAAATGACCGGTCACGACTTTGCAAAGAAACTTGGCAGAGATTTGAAACAGCTTCGAGCCAGTCGATCAACCAGTCTCTTCCGACCACGGGATCGTTCTCCCTGCCTTGAGACGGGACTAGCACTGCCTCAACCAATTCAGCGATATGCCGTCTGAACTAGCATACGTAGCAGATTCGGGCAGGAGGTTGCATGAGATCGAGTCTCTCCAGAGTTGTATCTTACTGGCTGACCCGGCGTCAAGGGGCTGCTCGATAGCACACGATAGGAATATCCAGCACAACTACGCCTTATTAGTCGCCCTTTATACTAACTGTGAACAAGCTGACGATAGAAATACCTTGCAGCATCCGGTGTGTGTGAGAGCACTGCATATGAATTTCAAGTCGATTGAAGATCTGTTGAAGGTTTCAACGACTTGTCTTAGCTCATGTTTGTGTGGAGGACCATGTGGCCGCACAGGTACACGCCGGCGAGGTCGATCATCTCGCCACGGCCTGCCAAACACTATTTGGGACTCTCAATTCAAATGAGCAACCTATTCTGGAATTCAGACGGGTGATGAGAAAAAAACCCTGACTTGAAAACACGAGCAGCAAAGCGCTAACTTGCACCAGCAGAGGGCAGGGTGGGCGCTCCGCCGGGGGGCTGGAAGCTGCATTCTCAGCTTTCCAAATTTACATCAACTGCGAGCAAAGTGTGTGTGCCTTGATAGGTTATAGCTGAGGGGGGGGGGGGGTGGTTTAGCAATAAACATGCAGTTCTTGGCGTCAGCCACTGGCCATCAAGGTTGCCAGCTCCATCACAAATGGCACCTTTGATTTTAAGCTTAAACTTGGGCTGTAGAAGAGAAGGCAGTCCTGGTAGAATTTCTACAGCGTGCATTACACTCCGCCTGGGTTATTAAAGAGCTTGTTTGTTCCATCGTGGGTTGTGGAAAAAAGTTGAAAACGAGGAGGCAACGCAACATCTTCCTCAAGCAAGACAGAGACGAGATGCTTGTTGGGTGGAATGCGACGGCCGAGTGAGTGGATCGGGCTGGCAATAAAAGCATGCATGTAAATCAGCAGCCATCGACGCCAAGAATCCAGCTCCATCTTCCGAAAATATCACGGTCTACACCCTCTTCGCGGGCACCAGGCACAAGTTCCAACATTCTGCCCACCACCATGCAGACTGGACAAGAACCGAAAGCAACACAAAGAGGCGATAGAAGCCTGCATCTTATAGGTCCTGCTTTGATTGCAGTAGCTGGTGCTCCATCGTGGCGACTTGCATGATTCAAAGAAACGTTGGATTGGGTGCGGAACAAACCACAAAGGTTCTCACGAGGCGTCCTTGGCAAGCGCAGGTTTCCTGCAGGTCTATCGTTTCCGTACAAAGGAACCGAGTGGCTGAACGGGAGAGAGAGCCCCATCGCATAATGACAAGCAGAAAGATCCGAGCTTGGTCCGTTGTTGCGGCGAGGGTATAAAAGCACGTCGTCGTCGGGTCACGGCTGGGCCTGCCCTCCCCTTCCAACTTGCACGCTTCATCCCATCAATTACCCAACCCTTCGTTTTTGATCCCAGACACTTTTCAAGATGCAGTTCAAGTCGCTCGCTTACGTCCTGCTCGGACAGTCGGCCCTCGTGGCCGCCCAGTCGGCGACCACCACGGCGCCCGCCGCCTCGGCCACCTGCGAGCCGCACGAGGACCACTGGCACTGCCCGGCCGGCGTGCCGCAGCCGTCGCTGAACCCGGACGGCTCCGTCAACACCAAGGCCACCCAGGGCGCCGGCGGCAGCGCGACCGCCTCCGCCACCGCGAGCAGCCACGACCATGATCACGACCACGACCACGATCATGACACCACCCCCGCGGCCTCGGCCAGCGGCAGCGCTGCCACCGGTTCCACCACCCTGGCCACCACCACCGTCGCCACGGGGCCCAACGGCTGCACGCCGCACAACGACCACTGGCACTGCCCCTCCGGCGTCCCCAAGCCCACCACGCCGCCCCCGGGCTACACCCCCAAGTCCACGTCGGCGGCCTCGAGCGTCTCCGGCGGCGCGTCCCCAAGCGCCACCGCCTCGAGCACTCCCACCACCGGCGCCGCCGGTCGCGCCGGCCCGCTCGGCATCTCCGTCGTCGTCGGCGGCAGCCTCCTCCTCGGAGCTCTGTTCCTGTAAGCGCAGAGTGTAAACAGAAGTGTTGGGTGGCGGTTGCTTTCGCCTTTGAAAATGTCCACACAAGTCAGAAAAAGGTTCGGCTCAGAAGAGGGCTATCGTAATCACATGGGAAATGGAAAAGGGTGGCGGATCACACTAATGTACATGGCTGCGTGTTGTATAAATAGACCATGACGATAGCAGAATGCGAAGCACCAAGTCACTTGTCACACCTTGCGGAAGAGGGAAAACGTGCAACGGCCGTGGTGTAGCGGACACGGGGACAATTAGTCTTGGACTCGACAAGTCGGGCCAGGACGTGCCGATACATGCACGATGGGAGTGTCGTGCACCGGATCATGCCGGCTGCGACACAGCGGCAAACGGTCGAGGGCAGTCTTGGCTGGAGTAGTTCGTGAGCCTTGTCAGGGGAAGCTCGTTCCGGGAGGAGGTGATGTCACCGGAGAGGGAGCCTCAGGGGCGACGCGTAGCTTGAGGGTGGGTGGTGACTCTGGTGAGTCGGTGGTTGGTTGTCGAGTCACGGACCATGATGGGTCACGGGTCGTGGTGGGATGAGCAGGCTGCGGCGCGTATGGGCGTGAGTGCTTTTGCAGAAGGAGTCGACGAGTGCAGAGAGGGAAAGACCTGGTAGGTGCTAGTAAGCCGGGAGAATTGACAGCAAATGTAATGACATGTGCAGGTCAAGTGAAAGACGAGTGTCGTGATGCTGGCAGAAGTTGCCAGTGGGAGGTCCTGACTTGACCCACAGAGGTACAAACGAGGTTATCCAAGAGAGAAACGACTAGGAACACGAAGAACAGAGGTGGATGGGAAATGAAAAATAAATAAAATTCTTAGAATTTTAGGATCTCAAAATACAGAGACGAGGAAATATTTCCTCCAAAGAATTAATGCTAAAACGGAAACACGTCTCCTTGATGCAAGGGTCTCCTCCACCAATCCGCACGGTTTTTTCTCCATGTGGCTCAGCCGTATGGCTCAACGTGGCTCAGCCATGCAACTTTTTTTGCTAGCTACCCCAAACTTGCAACCTCTCAACCTCGACGACCACCAAACAAGCCACATGAACTAGGTACGCTCCCGTGAGCACCAACAGCACAAAGCCCTACCACCAAGCATCCTCCCGGCTGACTTGCTCTGACACACAGGCAGCAACACGAGCACCAACTGCAGAGTCACACTGCTGCTCGCTCCCGACTTCCCGCCAAACCACCAGGTCCTCCTCCTGCTGCCTCCTGTTCTCCTATAAAATCATTTGACCTGCCGCCCTCCCGTCGAGGAGCCCGCCCACCCAACATGTCCAAGCAATCCATCGCCATGATCGCCGCTCTGAGTGCCGGAGGCGGCGCTGCCCTTACCGCCGCCGTCTACTCGCTCCGCTCCAAGCCCGAACAAGCATCACAACTCCAACAGCCACCGCAACAACAACTCCCACCCACCGCGACCCTCCCCGGCGCCTACCCGCAACCACCCCTCCCCTCCGCCCTCCCCACCGCCGGCCTCACCACGCCGGCCTCGCCCGTCAACCCGTCCGGCCTGTTCGAGTACGGCTTCCCCGGCCCCGTCGCCGACCTCGCCGCGCGCTCCGCCCTCGTCTCCAGCTACGACCGCCGCACGCGCAACCCGCACTGGGTCGCCGAGCACATCACCCCCGCCTCCCTCGCCCTCCGCGATGCCGACCGCAAGCACTCCTCCTTCCTCGAGGACCCCTCCGTCCCCGCCCACTTCCGCGCGCGCCTCGCCGACTACCACCGCAGCGGCTACGACCGCGGCCACCAGGTGCCCGCCGCCGACGCCAAGTGGTCCCAGCGCGCCATGGACGACACCTTTTACCTGACCAACATGTGCCCGCAGGTCGGCGAGGGCTTCAACCGCGACTACTGGGCGCACTTTGAGGACTTTTGCCGCCGCCTCACGCAGCGGTACCCGTCCGTCCGGGTCGTCACGGGCCCGCTCTACCTGCCCCGCAAGGACCCGGCCGACGGCAAGTGGTACGTCCGGTACGAGATGATTGGCAGCCCGCCGTCGGTGGCGGTGCCGACGCACTTTTACAAGGTCATCTTCGCCGAGGACGGCAAGGGCGCGGGGGGCAACGTGGCGCTCGGCGCCTTCGTGCTGCCCAACGCGCCGATCGACAACAACAAGCCGATCACGGACTTTGAGGTCCCCGTGGAGGCGGTGGAGCGCGCGAGCGGGCTCGAGTTCGCGACCAAGCTGCCGCCGCAGCGCCGCAAGCGCCTCTGCGCGGAGACGACCTGCGCGCTGGTCATCAAGGACTACGCAGATCGGCAAAAGGCCTTTGCCAAGGGCGACGGCAAGCGTTCCCTCCCGCCTTCGCAATAGTATCGTTTTTCTCAAGGAGGTAGAGTCTGGATGTATTCTGGGGGATTTCCTGTTATTTTTTCCTTTTTACGCTGCTATCTCATAGAAAGAGCGAGACAACATCGGCCTCGAGGGCCGGACGTTACATCTTGTACATTAGACCATGCCGCATAGCCAGCCCGAGCTTCTTACGTCGCTCAGCACCGAAATAAGCATTAATACCGTCCGCCGCTGGAAAAAGTAACCTGAAACTGTTATTTGTGTCTTTAGATCAGTTTCATCATGTCTACCGCCATCACTACCAAAATAATACAATACACGGACGCCGAAGTATGACACATCGCACAACCCAATTACGGCCCTATTACAGCGGCGGACCCTTATCGTATCCGCTTGTAGTTGCCATGTCGCTGCTCCTCCCGCAGACTGTCCGCCTGGCTCGGCAGCGGCGCCCTTCGCCGACCACCCGCGTCGACGACACTCCCCTTGCCTCCGTCCAAGCCCATGGGCATCGGTGGCGGCGGAATCGGCAAGCCCCCAGCTCCCGGCGGCGGGATCAGCCCCGGCGGCAGCTGACCTGGCGGCGGCAGCGGCACGCCGGCCTTCTTCATCATCTCCAGCAGCTGCATCGGGTTCGGCGGGTTCTTGGGGTCGATGCCCGGCAGCGGCGGCGGCGGCGGCGCGCCGTTCATCCCGGGTAGCGGGAACGGCAGCGGCGGGAACTGGCCGGGCGGCGGTGGGGGAATATGGCCGTTCGCCCCGACGCCGGGGATCAGGGGCGGCGGTGGCGGCACGGCGGATCCTATCCCGGGCACGCCGCCTAGCGGGAGACCCGGGATGCCAGGCAGGCCGGTGCCGCCGTGAGCGGACTGGCGCTGGCCGGCGTCCTGGTCGACAAGGGCGTCCATCTCGTCCTCGATCTCCTGCTGCTCCTCCTCCTGACGCTGGCGGCGGTTGCCGCGGCGGTCCCAGGTGCCCTGGGCCTCGGCGGCGGCCTCGCCGATGTGGTAGCGGTCGTGGAGGACGTCGGCGGCGTCGCCGGGGCGGGCGCGGGTCCAGAAGCGGGTGATGCGGTCGTTGGAGCCGGAGGCGAGGACGTGGCCGAGCGGGTGCCAGTCGAGGGACCAGATGGCGTAGTCGTGGGCGAAGGCGACGCGGTGGGCGGGCCAGATGGACTGGGCGGGCGCGGTGGTCGGGTCCGGGCTGTCGTAGGGCGCGACGGTGAGCTGCTGGCCGGCGGGCGTGTTGGGCGAGTCGAGCAGGTAGTGGAAGAGCGCGCCGTCCATGCCGCCGGTGGACAGCAGGTTGGCGTGCACGGGGTGCCAGGCGACGGTGGAGATGTCCTTCTCGTGGCCCTTGAGCAGGCAAATGTCGCGCATCATGCGTAGGTCGAAGACGCGCGCTGTCTGGTCGCGCGCCGACGTGGCCAGGCAGCTGCCGCGCACGCGCTCAAAGAGCACCTTTGTGATGGTGCTCTTGTGTCCGTGGAGGGTGGTCAGGCACCGGCCGGTTCGCGGGTCCCACAGCTTGACCAGGTGGTCCTTCGACCCGGACACCAGGAGGCCCTTTGTCGGGTGCCAGTCGACCGACTTGGCGTCCCAGCCGTGCCCCTCGAGCTTCGTCTCCATCGACCCCAGGGCAAAGTCGAAGACCTTGAGCGTGGAGTCGTCCGAGGCGGTGACGAACTTGGAGTCGTTGGGGCTGAAGGCCAGGTCGCGGATGGGATCCGAGTGCGCGTTGATGCTCTGCACGTTGTTGAAGTTGGGCTGCCAGTACTTGATGAGGCCGTCGTGGTCACCGGACACGAGCCAGTCGTCGCTGTGGGAGTACTCGAGCGCCCGGATGGCCGAGTCGTGCGCCTGCATGATGGTCTCAAAGTTGAACCCGGTGCCGTTCCATAGCGTGAACTCGCCGCTGGTAGAGGCTGTGAGGAGACGGCGGCCTTCGGGGGTCCATCGCACCACGTTTACGGGATGCTTGATCTTGTTGAGGGATGAGTGTAGGTGTTTGGCGGGAATGGTATCTGCTGGGTTCGTCGGCCTTGCAACTGGCGGCAGCATCTGGCCGATGGTTAGCGCATCGCCAAGGACATGTCAACGATATACAAACATCAATAATGTAGCTTGCACTGGGGCGCTCAGCCTCGCCAATGTAGGAGCCCTTGTAATTTGGTACCCTATTGCGCTGCCAGTGAATTATGGTTGAGCTGTAGTCGGTCACGGGTCCTGTGAGGCGTCAGCTGGGGCTCATCGCCTGTCCCGGGCACGGGTCGGAAGGGCTGCCAAAGATGGCAGACAAGACGGCGCAAGGATTCACTTACGTCGACCTCGAACTTTGACGAAACCTCCATCCTGCCCTTGGCCACCACCACGGTCGTTATAGTCTCCACGAGGCTCATAAGCCATGGTGCCTTTTTCAGGGCCCAGCCGGGCTTGCGATTAGCGCTGGGGGGCGTGAAACATGCGTAAACGATGCCACGGTATGACGTTGCTTAAAAGTTCTATGAGATGCGGCGCACGAGATTGAGCGGTCAACAAGGCAGGGCGATAAAATAATGAGATGATTCGAGTGATGATCTGAGGCGCGTTGAGCTTCCATCAAAGGACCTACTTTGGTAGCTCTCAATGGCTCCAGCAATTTCGCGCCAGATCACATGATGGGTTATCGCTGCTTAGTCATGCCGCCGACTTGTGCTCCGGCTACATACAGCAATCGTTTGGCATCGCATTTGGGTTGAAATCTTGAAAAAGAAAATTGAGATAAAAAAATGAAAGCAACGTGAAGAAATAATTTTGTGCAACAAGGCTACCCAAGCGTCCTTGAAGGCCCAGTGGCGAGCACTCGCTGCGGCAAGGTTCTTGGCGGCTCACCTACACGGGAGACAGGCGACAGCAGACAGCGACGACACTGAATGGGAAAATACTAGGCAAGTGGGATACTGCACAGTCAATTTTTAAGGAATTAATAAAATTACTAAATTTTCTAGGAATTTGTTAAATCTTCCTTATTTCATTAATAATTATTAAACTTGGGAAATGAACCATTACTACTGCATCACACCCGGGCCCCGGCCCCGGACACGACATGGCCGTTAGGAGGAAATCTCAATGATGGCAGGGCCGGCAGCGATGGTGTCGTCGTTGACGGCATCCTTGCAGCTGGTGAGGACAGCGTAGGTCTGGCCGGCGAAGCCCTCGGGGATCGTGACCTTGAAGCCGCCGTCCACCGGCGTGGCGTCGGCGAACACCGGTCCCGTGACGGCCACGAACGCCGCGTAGATCTTGGTGTCGGGGCTGGGGCCCTTGAGCTGGTAGCCGGGCGTCTGCAAGACGACCTCGGCGCCGGTCTTGACCGGCATGGGGGTGTTGGCGGCGAGCGCGAGGGCCGGGAACGCCTTGACGGGCAGCGCCGGGTTGGAGGCCGGGCAGGCGGTGATGAAGCCCGAGGCGAGGGAGTAGACCTCGTCGAGGGAGAGGGGCGCGTCGAACGGCTGCGGGAAGGGCTTCTGGTTGAGGTTGGCGCGGATGTAGGAGGAGTGGCGCGACTCGACGGTCAGGATGGAGCCGGCGGCGGTGAGGTAGGTCTTGGGCATGATGTCGGCGGCGGCGCCGAGGTAGGCGGAGACGCCGACGCCCTCGAGGATGGAGGCGGTGGCCATGAAGGACTTGACGTCGGTGTAGCCAAAGTTGTAGGTGCAGGCGGCCGTGGGGTTGGCGCCGGCGGCTGGGAGGGGAGGGGGCTTGTTGTCAGCGGGTGGGATTGACCGGGAACGGGTGCGAGGATGGCTTGCTTACCCTGGAGAGCCTTGGTCAGGAAGCCGACGTGGGCGGCCTCGTCGCTGGCGATGGACTTGACGTTGCTGTAGACGGTGGCGTCGAAGCCGGCGTTCTGGAAGTCCTGCTGGGAGAACTTGGCGAGGCCGTCGCGGTAGAAGGTGTCCTCGAGATGCTCCAGGGTCAGGGCGTACTGGAGAATGTCGGCTGCGTGTTGTCAGCAACGGGGGTTCATGTGTCAACGAGGTGATGTCTCCTTACCATCAGTGATTGCAGCACGCTTCGAAACGGTAGGGGCGGCAGAGACGAAGCCAGCGGCGACGACGGCCGCGACGGTAGCCTGGGAGAAGTGCATTGTGACGGCGATATGTGCCAAGGTATGGTGTACAAGAAAAGGATATGGTTTGTGTAATGTGATTGTAGGATGAGCGAGAACAAAGGGGACCGATAGCAACCCGGCTGGCAGGATTCTTTTATTCCGTGGACTAGGGCAATAACAACATGTCCTCTGCCACATCCCGGAGCTCGACGGCGAGAATGCTCCGCGATGTCATGACGGAACCAAGACGGCGCTTGTGTCGGCATGTTTCGCAGCCGGATTACATGTTGGAGAAACGGTAAAAGCAATTCGGCTCCTAGCGCAAGCTCTATGATGGCTACGCTCGAGAGGTTTGATTGAGGCGGCGCGCGCATCGTGGCACTAGCAACAAGCTTGCTCGAGTGTGTCCAGGACCTTGCCCACAATATTGGACTTGATTCCAAACATACCTTGCCGGATGCAAGCCATGCCGGGCTAGGCGTGCACGTTTTCTGGGGTTGGCATGCTGTCAGCTTGTTGTTGTTAGTTAGTGAATTGAGATGTGCCTTCTTTTAGCCTCGTGGGCGGCCGTTCGGAGCGAGGACCAGCCGGGGCCGGTTATTTCCCAAAGGGGCAACTAGCACGATCGATCGCCCTCGCCAAGTTGTGGTATTTCAAAGAAAAGAAGAAAAGGAAAATTGAAAGAGGAAAAAGGAAGATCGAGGTTCAGAGTCTGCCAATTGAGATGGAAACATATTTCATGGGTGCACAATCTTTGTTTCGCAGATGTTTATGCTCGCTCGATCGACGCCGAAACGGATCATCCCGGTCAATGCCGGAGCACAACATCCCCCGGCATTAAGCAACCTATGTATGTGGCGTCTAGTCAGGCACGTCGAGTAACATTAAACGTGCGCCGAATTGAAACAAAACAACGTTCGCCTGGAACAGCCATGCAGCAACAGGATCTAAGCTCGCTAACCTGCATACATAACCTCCACTTAAAAAGGCACTGGTGGCAGCCCTAGCTCAGCCTCGCCACCCCCATTCATCGTGGCCAGCCCGGAACGGCGAGCATCCGGGGAAGTTAGATTACTTGAAAACAATCCAAGGCACTTGCTTGGCGTGCTATTGATATTATGGGGGAAAACTGGGTTTCTCGATTGTCGACTAGGTAAGGAATGATGCTGGGCCGTGGGTACGAGGCGAGTGACTAGTTGTAACTTGCTCGTTTACTCAACGAGGACGGACAACTACGCAGTCGGTAGTTGGCCTCGGCGTGGTTTCAAATACGTCGGCCAAGAAACCGGGTCTATGAATTAGCATCTATGTATGTAGTTGCGTCGCTAGCATGACCGTGGGTAGACCGTTCGCTGAGCTCGTCCATGACGTGGATGGATAGCCAAGCCAAAGGGAACTCGACGCAGCAACTCCTTGCTAAACTACTATTACCTTGGGATGCCCGCCGCTTCTTTTTTCTCTTCCAAAATCCTGCATACCAATCACTCACTTCCCTTCCTCAATCTTCTCATTGTCATTTTTCAGCGCTCCTCCGTTGACTTGTGCATCATTTACAATACCATCACCATGAAGTTTGTTGCCATCATCGCTTCCCTGGCGTGTAAGTTGTCGTCCCTCTCCTTTCCCCCCCGAGACTCCCCGGACATTTCTCGCTGACAGCATCTCCAGCCATCGCCGTCGCCGCCGACGTGTCCACGACCATCACCTGCCCTGACTGCAAGACGCCCGCGTCGACCAACGACGTGGTCACCCGCTCGCCCCTGCCCACCACCAGCTGCGACTCGCCGTCCCTCACCGTCGTCAAGACGGGTGGTGCGCAGAGCACCGGCGGTATGAGCTCGAGTGCCTCCGGTAGCCAGACCGGCAGCCCTACCGGCGTCCCCGTTACTGGCGGTGCTGGTCGCGTTGCCGGAGGTGCCCTGGTCGCTGCTGTGGTTGCCGTCGCCATGCTTTAAGCGGCACCAGTGTCTGCGCACGATACCATAGCTAGGATTCTCGCAAAATTCCGCATTGATTCTATAATGCTACACTATAATTCATAATGCAACTACATTTCTACACCCAAGACAGTGACTCGACTACCACGACATACTTTTCTGACCCTCAAATCAACTAGACCTGTCGTACACTGCCAAGACTTGTGCCGCTGCAGCGGTCGCCGCTATCAAAGGCGTCTCGCTATACCGAATAGATGAAACGAGGCCTCGGTGCCCCCTTCGCTTAGTCGGAGCAATTCCCGCCGTGCGACTTCGGAGCTTGGCAAGTACGTCAAGAGCCAAGCCCAAGCACCGGCATCTCCTTGCCGCCGGTCCGCGGGCGCCTGTGTGTAACAGCAGATCACTGTAAATAAGGAAGGAGATGTGAGAACAAGAAACTTGGAGCACTTTTTTCCAGAATAACGCCAAGTTGTAATTGATCCAAGCACTTGGTGACGCCGCGTAGGGACAACGCAGATGGCAAGTCAACTAGAGCATAAACCTTGTATTTTTCGTGCCACGCAGCCGCCGCTCCCACGGGCGCGACGCCCTGCGACACGTGCAATAATTTTGATACGCCTCAAAAGAACTTGGCTATTTTTGAATCTTCAGTTAGACAGCCCAGCAAGCTACGTGTCTGCATATCTACCACCCGCCGCGCCCTCACGCTGCCATCACTTCAGCTGCGCTCCAACACTTGTCCACACAGTAAACTACTGACTACACCAAGTATGCGGATAGACAACAGGAAAACGGGTAACTACAGAGGGAAGGCATGTGTGTTATCTTTAGGCAAGTAATCAACAGGAGAACCTGCAAATTGCGCTGATCACTAACATCTCTACCGACGGCGGAGGCGTTGCCGGCCTTTCTCAGCTCATCATCCTCGAGAGAATCATGAACCAGATCAAAGTCGATTGGGGATTGAAGGAGGACCCTCTTCCTGCAGATTATTTCGACCTCATCGGAGGCACATCCACAGGAGGGTAAGATGCCATCACCCTCTCCTGGCCTGCCTGGGTCGTTGACATATGGAAACCAACAGCCTCATCGCACTCCTACTTGGCCGTCTGCGTCTATCCGTGCCCGAGGCCCGGACAGAATTCACACGTATTGTACAGCATGTTTTCACGCTCGAGCGCCGCGTCAAGGTCCTCATAAACATCCCTCTTCTGGGGCCTTATGTCAAGAGGGAAATCTTCGACGAGCGGAGACTAGAAGCCGCCGTCAGGCGGGTTCTGGTCGCCCGCTTGGGACAAGGCCGTGGAGACGAAAAGCTGTTTGATCGTAGCGACGGCCGTTGCAGAGTGTAAGGACACGTCACGGTGGGCTGGCATCCACGGTATGCTGATCCTCTTGCAACAGCTTCGTCTGCGCCAAGGTGCTCCAAGTCGCCGACGCCCCGCGCCTGTTTAGGACGTACGATGCCTCTGGGACGGAACCGTCTGACTGCAGGATCTGGGAGGCGTGCCGCGCGACCATGGCCGCGCCGGCCTACTTCAAGGGCATCAACATAGGAGTCGAGAGTGAGCGGGAGACATTTGTTGGCGCCGGATTGGGCTGCAACGATCCGATCCAGGAGGTGTTGGCGGAGGCAAGACGAGTCTTTCCTGCGTACAGGAAAATTGCATGCGCCGTCAGCATCGGAACCGGCACCAAGAGAGCGCCCAAGGCTCGGTCAGGCCTGCCGCTGACGACCAGGCGCAAAGCGATTGAGAGGCTGGAGGCGTTTGCAACGAGTGAGGATGACAAGGCACAGGCGGGTGCTAAGTTTGACAAAGCCTCCGAGGCGTACTTCCGCCTCAATGTCGATGGTTGCCTGGGCAGCGTGGGACTTGAAAATTGGAGGGAGCTGGGGCAGGTCCGGAGCCTCACGACGAGGTATCTTGACCAGAACGAGGTATCGGATCAAATACGAAAAATAGCCAAGGTATTGGTGGCGCAGGACAGTTCAAGCGGTGCTTCCCTCGAGTCATCCCCGAGAGTCCATCGCAGACGTAGGACAGTCTGAGGCTGTCGCAACGGGCTTAACACTGGGCGCAAACCGTCGTGGGAACAAGCCACTGATAAGGATATGATATCATAAAATAAAAAAAATAAAAAAACGAGGCACAAGGCTGACACAAGAGGGCGGGCGCATCTGTGGTGAAGAAATATACCCGGGAGTCATCCGATAGTCGAGCGAGAGCTTGGCCATTCCTCTCTCTGTACTCAAGCTCTTGGTACCTCTCTGATGTACGATTTACATGTAGTTAATTCGAACATGGCAAAGCATCACGGATCATCCCTTTGACAAAAGTTCCGCGCGTTACCCCTGTTTACACTAAAACACCCTAATTTGAATACATTAGAACTCTCTCACTTTAATACTAATAATTCTATAATAAATTTAATAAAAGAAATTATTATAAATATACTTTATATATACTTTCTTTTTTATATTTTAGTATTTCTTATAAATTAATAAAGTTTAAATAAAATACTTCGCTTTTAGTAGTAAATTTACCCCTACTTAGTAAAAAAAAATAGAACTTTTAACTTCTAATATATATATTAATAGTTATATAGTTTTAAAAGAAAAAGTAAATAAGAAGAAAAATAATTTATCCTTTAAATAAATTAATTAGATTAAAGTATTATTTATTTATATATTAAGTATTTAGTTATTATAGGTAGAAAACTATATGCCTTTATTTATAAATTAGTAGAGAAGTACTAAATTAATTAAAACTTTTATTAACCTACTATAGATATTAGTAGTATTTCTTAGTGCAGTTATCTACAGTTTCTATATACTGTGGGGCATAAAAGGTTAGTTGTTTTTTTTAATCTTATAGTAAAATATAAAGTCTTTAAAAATCTATATTAATTTAAATAAATAATAGAAAATTTTATAAAAAGTCCTAAAAGAAGATATTTATCAGGCCCTCTTGTGATTGTGACATACAACTCTCAGCATGGTCCTCACTGAGGATCAAAAGCAGATCATCACCGACCACCCGCTCAATGACTTGCTCGCTGCGCTTCCCACCAAACTACGTCATTTCAAGTTGGAAGACAACGAAGACGACACCAGGCCATGCGACAACCAAGCCTGGCGTGCCGATATCTGCAATCTTTTGGGCATTTTGATGGGCACCACTGCAGCATACCAGCTTCGCACGTCAGATGGACACAGAATCGCCTCGATGCTCATGCACGCCCGCCAGATAGTCGGAACACTACAGCCCTCTCGTTTTCGCTCCCTGATCGACGCCATCGTCGCTGACTGTTCCGACTTGGTCCTTTGGGCCGTAGTCATCAACTTTGTCCAAGGCCTCGACCCCTCGACCCCTGAGAACTCTGCAATTTCCAAACAAGTACCAGCAAAACTCGCAACACCGCTTCCGGCCAGCTCAGCCCATTTATCAGATGGCGAAAACCGCGCAGTTATTGAGGAGAGACTGTTCCACGAGATAGGAGACTCTACACATCGAAATGTCCCTGGCTTCTTCCAGAAGCATTTTAACCCAGCCACCTGGGACAAGCGTCAGAGGCGCATGCTAAAGGACCTTCTTACACACCACGACGGCCATAATTGGGCTGAATTTCCTGATGATCCCTCTGAGAAGCCAGTCTGGAAGTGGCTGACGCAACTTGAGAAAGATTCTATGGCCGGTGCACCATACACCCTGCACACCATGAGGACGGCCACCGAGTTTAAGGACGGTAAAGCCCAAATGGACCTGATGTTTCGCAAGTCGAACGCAAAAAATGATTATAGAGATGTTGTTGTTGTTGTTGTTGTTGTTGGGGAGCATAAGAAGGTCCACAATCCAAGCGACTTCAAAGCAGTCATTCTACAACTTGCGAGATATCTGCGTGGAATATTTAGTGACCAATCTCTGCGTCGCTTTGTACACGCTTTTACCCTATGTGGCGCTATAATGGAACTGTGGGTGTTCGACCGGTCAGGGCTGTATAGCTCTGGCGAGTTTAACATTCACGAGAAGCCCGAGAGATTCGCCTGTGCCCTTGTTGCTTACGCCAGTATGAACAATGATGCCATGGGCCTGGATACATATATTGAGCTCAGAAACAACCATCGCTACCTAACAGCGAAAGATGCTGCAGGTAATGAGAAACGGGTAGAAGTGGCCAAGGGGAAGCTGCTTGTTCGGCAGCGTGCTATTGTGTGTCGAGGAACGACCTGCTACCGAACCACGCGGGGCGTAGCCAAGTTCTCATGGCGCTCTGCGGACAGGCAGCCCTCCGAGGTCAAGCATCTTACTCTAGCTGCAGCGAGAGGTGTTGAAGGAGTGGCCACAGTGCTAGCACAGCACACTGCGAAATCACAAGCATCGCGGATTTGAGAAGCGGCCTGGAACTTTCTGATCAGACGCGACATAAATTCCATTCTGGTCCCGAAGCCGAACCCGGCTCTGCCGGCCTTTCCGACAGCGGATCGAGCAGGAAGCGCCCATCTTCCAACGACGATGGCACTGGCTCGACAAAACGACGCCCCGACAGTCAAAGGCGCCCCCGCCGGCAACCGAGGTCAGGTGCCGGAACTGGCGGCCCGCCGGGTGCAGGATCGGGATCGGAATCGGGCTCGGAATCACCCCACGGATCGAGGCCAAGCGTACATCGAGCCAATCGCGACGTTCTCTACGAGAACCGCATCCTTTCCTGTCTCGTTATCTCGCCTGCTGGACGCGTGGTGAGCGACTTCAACTCTGCACGAGAGCTGCTGGAGGTTCTTCGAGATGCCATCCGGGCGCACCAGTCCCTTCTGATGAAGGGCGGGATCCTCCATCGTGATATTTCATCCAACAACATCATCATCACAGATGCGAGTCAAGGCTTCAAAGGAATGCTAATCGACCTCGACCTGGCCAAGGGCCAGGATCGTGAACGAAGCGGCGCCAGGAATAAAACAGGAACCATGCAGTTTATGGCGATCGAGGTGCTGCTCGGAAAAGACCATCCGTACCAGCACGATTTGGAGTCCTTCTTCTACGTCCTTTTTTGTGGCTGTGCGCGCGCGAATCCTGGAACAAGGAGGCGTTGCTGGACGACGGAGAGATGCCACGTCCCACGAGCCGACTGTGCAAATGGGAGGAGGTTGGGGGGCTCGACCAGATAGCCGATGCTAAGGCGGGAGATATGGCGGGCTACGGACTGAGACGCATCCTGGAAGAGTTCCCGAGGGCGTTTGAGATGGTTAAGCCACTGTGTCTGCGGATTCGAGCGATCCTCTTTGGCGACATGGCGGAACAAAAGATAGGGACACCAGCAGGTGACCCTCTACGACTCTATAATGCAATTCTGGCCGCTTATGACATAGCACTTAGCTCGTTCTAATAGATATTTTATCCATCTCTTCTATCTCTTCTATCTCTTCTATCTCTTCCATCTCTTCTCTTCTATCTCTTCTATCTCTTCTATCTCTTCTATCTCTTCTATCTCTTCTATCTCTTCTATCTCTTCTATCTCTTCCGTCTTATATCCCTTTAATTTCTTGAATTCCCCCTTCTTTATTATTTATCATTTCTTTAGCGCGAATCCATTGTCTAGAAAAGAGATCCTGAGTAACACAATCGGCGTCCAGCCTCCTAGTCAGTAGAGACGTAGTACGAAGAGATGTTCACAAGCGTCTAGGGTGACGAGAACAGGGATGAGCTGATGTTGTCTACCGATACGGTGGAGGCCGTTGGAGCAATATGAAAAAAAATGCATAATGAAGGAGACGCCAATTCCACAAACAGAACCTTTCTGGCGCGCTGCTTGATGCAGTCAAAGGTGGTTATGAAGTGGGAAAGAGGTCTTCCTTGTCGAGACAAAGACGGGAGAGCAACTCCGGCGCTTCTCAGATATACCGGTAGCAAGTTCCACGATGGCATACCGCGGCTTTTACCAAATTGAACTCACAGTGAGCTGGAAAACGGACGGACTGGCAACCGCGAGCTTGCTTGCCAGTGTCGAAATGCCGCTGTTGCCCCCACCCGCGTCGAGCAAATACGTTGTTACGCGTCTCAGCAGTCACTTATTTCTTCCTTCTCCTTCTGGTTCAAAGACTACGTCAGTAGACAGTTTACCCTGCCTCAAGCTGCTGCTCGGTTCGGATGTTGGTTGGGGATCATCCGCAGCCTCGCCGAGGCACGTCGAGGCCGTTTGTGCCGGGCAGCTGATGATGAATTTGGTCGCCTACAAATAACTTCCGTGACCGCCCTTTGCTACATCACAGCCACACCCTAGATTCGCCTTTCGAGAATCGGCCGGCCTTCGTCGCTGGCGTTTCTTCGACCAACCACCAAGCCGCTCATTGCATTGGGCACCAAAGCCACACGGCTACAGTCCCGATTGCCCTCCAATCCGAGTTTTATTTGTTTAAATTAGCAAAAAGCAAAATACCACGCCTGAAAATTTTATCCAATTTGCTCGCGAAACAGTGCCGCGTCAATCCGCGCAAGTTCACAGCTCCGTCGGTTGCGGCCTCGCAATTTGCTCCGCCAACAGGTATGAACGGCATTATACTCAGGTACACGGGCTAGTCATACATAGTCAATATAATCTAGCTATTCTCCAAGTCATCATGAATTAGCTAGAAACCTGAGGCTAGACAGTAGCTCTTGCGCAAGTCCCTACTGTTTTGTTTATCACTCAACGGGCAAAAGTAAATACAAGAAATGGCGGGGCCAATGCGATGTAATCACTAGTGAGACGGACGGCGAGAGAGAAATAGATGGAAAGTATGATCAATTTTTGATTCTTGCTGGCCCGCATCTACTCCTCTCTCCTACAAAGCGCGGGGGGATCATTGTGAGACAAGTAAACGGGACCTCGGAGGCGGAGGCGGAACAGCACCTAGGCCAGATGCGCCTTTTTGCGCAATTCAACCCCTGATAACCCGCACTTCTCACCGGATGCTCAGCAGCTTCGAATTTGGTACGGCAACCGTGCCAGGGCCTGAGGGGCGAGAAAGAGGACATGTAGCAAGGTAGGATTGTTGCGTCGTCGGTTGTTCGGGGCCATGTGCCTGTGCGAAGGGGATGAACCAACAGCCTGGCTGGACAGCGAAAGAAACATCAGATGCGGTGCTCGCAACCGGTTCCCGTGCTTTTTATTTCCGTATTATTTATGCCATTGACTAGCCAATTCTGCGTGCTGTATTACCCGAATCAAATTTCCCAATTTCCCATTACCCGTCTTTCTTGTCGATGGGTCGACTCACAGTGGACAAGGGAAAGCCGAGGGCCCTACAGGGAGCAATCTTCTCGGTCTAATTTGCTTGCTTGCCGAGTTTTGTGGTAACAGCTCCGTGACTTTTTTGCGCCGTTCCTTTACATTTAATTAGTCTGTTCCTTGCCGAGCAGGATCTGTTGCCCGATTTCCAGTTACACCACCTATGAACTCGAGGTCACAGAAAATTGCATCAGTCTGAACGGCACCAGCCGTGGACCAGGCAGTTCAGGCGCCATCACGATCGTCTTATCCACAGAGGGGCTGGCAACAATTGACAGACTGATGAGCAGGGGCTGTTGGGCATCCGGAAATTACATCGACAGACAACAGGCACACACGGGCAGGTAGCTAGGCAGGGCGTGGTCTGTTCGAGGTGGACAACGCACGGGTTTGGCGCACGAGCTTGGAGCTGGATTGAAGGTCGGTGTGCCGATCTCATGCCGCGTCGAGCGAACAACGGTTGGTGATTGTGGGTTTGTGGATGGTGGTGGCGGGCAGAGTTCCCGCATTCTGGAGTCTACAGCGCACGCACAATGACGTAGCGGAGAGAGTCTAGAACGCACCCCGGAAGGAGAGGCAAAAGCAGTGTGAGGGCGCTGTGTAACGACCGGTCAACAACACGATGCAACTGCGCGAATACAGGGAATGTCGGCAGTTTTGCAGTGAGTCGTGAGAGGGAGGCGACAGCGAGGGCGAGAGTGCATTTGGGTGTAAATCCAGCTGTCGCGTGATACAACTGCCCAACGTATACGAGACGGATTAATGGTGGGCAGCAGCATGACGAGCTTGAATGATGCGTGAGCGTGCCTCTGTCATTGGTCTCCAAGGCGCAAGCAAGTTGGCAGGCCTCAGCCCAACAAGCTGCCTGTCGATACAATAGCGGCTTTTATTAGACAGGAGCTGCAATAACGGATCCGTCATCCTTGTGGGTGAGATGTTTAACAGCATAGCACTTACAAAGCTATTACAAGTCAAGGCATCGCCGACAGGATGGGGCTGTCAAGCAGGTTGGTGTGGAGAGAGGCTGTTGCGTGTCGAGTTGGGCTGAGATGGATGGCGCTTTTCAAGTTGGCTTGGGCAGTTGTGTGAGCTGGCGAGAAAAGAGAAAAGTAATCCAAGAGGCTGGCCATCAAGACAGCTAATCAGACTCTTTCTGGGCCGCAAGGGATAGACGTATCTAGGGTCCGATGATGTAACTTCTGGTTGGCGGTGGCCGACCCCTGCTGGCGCGCGAGCCAGTCAGTATGTGCCGCGGCCCCTCCGCGGAAGGGAGGGCATGTGCTTTGGTTCGCAGTTGGCCGGGCTGGTGGCCCTTATTAGAGAAGAGACGGGGGCTGGCTTATAATATGTACTGGTCGAGAAGGCGGTATGGCGCCTTGGCATCTGATTATCAGAATTTGGTCGTGGTCTCAGAATTGCCGTGTGCGGGCGAGCGAGCAACTGGTGAGGATGCAGCAAAATGGGTTTTCAAGTAGTGGAGAGTGCAGAATGCCAAGCATGAACTAATAATGAGCGGTAGGCGGGTGTGGGCGGGTTCATTACGTCGCAGGACCAGTTGAGTTTTCCCTCGTCTTGGTCGATGCTCTCCCGCCGTGAGGTCACTGAGAGCAGTGAGAGGTACAATCCCCCATTTTGGATCCAAGTTCGACTGAGTCCAGACGCTGCCACTGTGGGTGTGGTGTGGAGGATGAGAGACGCTAGGCTGAGTGGTGAGTGGTGAGGAGGGGCAAGCGTCGGGATCAGAGCAACAGAAACGCTTGGGTTATCGGAAGGTGGGAGGATAACGCCGGTTGTACTTGAAGCAGACGATATTGCGACAGCTGGCTCTTGGCCTTTTGTGCTAGGGCAATTGTGTGTTTGCATTTGTCAGACTTGGTTATGTCGGCAATGAAGGTCATGCTAAACCAGGAAGAGCGAGTGTCCATGCCCAAATGCCCCTCTTCTTTTGAGCAAGGAGGGGCAGATCTGTGTGAGTTTTGTGAACGCAGCTAGCTAGCTGGTCAAGCCAAGAGCACGGGAATAGGGTTGATTGAAGCGCTGGGAATCGAAGGGTGCATCGCATCGGCCGAGTCGCTGGAGGAGGGTGGCCCTGGCATGGGCATCGAGGACTGGACCAATGGGAGTGGGTTAAGTAGGGGGCCAGGTTCTTTGGTTTGTCTTGGTCTGTTTTGACGATGGTGGGCATGGAATACCTACCTACCAACGCAAAGCTGCAAAGCATCACAGCAAAGGGTTGGTCCGAGTGTTTGACGCTGGGATTGATGAGGTGTGTGTGTGGCAACAGCAGGACGGACTGTGACGTCGTTTTTGCTTGATGTGCAGATTAGCTTTGGCGCTAGAAAGAGTGACGTGCGTGACGACAGATCTAAGGTGTCGTTGATGAATAGCAATGGTAATACCTTGTGCAAACAAGAGAGCTGGTAGGAGGAGCAGTATGCGGCGAGTCTGCAGACAGATGGATAGGGAAATTGGGTGAGTACATGTGCAGCGGTGGTGTATCGGACCGATGTGGCGCGGAATTTGTGGTGATGGGAAGCGGTGGTGATGGATGAAGATGTGGGCATATCTGGTGGTTGGTGGTCGTTTGCTGCGATGTTGTAGTTGGTTGTCTTCAAGTGGGTTTAAGTGGTGATGACGGGTGGTGGTGGTGATTGATGCCTCTTTATCTGCCTGAGGTATCTATCCGCTGCACGTCGGTACTGTTATATGTAAGTGTTTGGCTCACCGCATGCTGTGCAGCCGGGACGAACGCCCGGAGTGCGACATCGTATACGTAAGAACTTTCTTTTTCCTAAATTTTCTTTCCCCAAGTTTTCGTCTTGTCACACCTTTTCTCTCTTTACTTTTTCCCTCTACGGTAAACGGGTTGGTGGATTTTTGAATGGTTTCTGATGCTGACCTGCATGGCAGCCTCAGTGGAGGCGATGAGGGCCAAGATCCGCTGAGCCCACTGAATTAGTGGTATTTGGGGGTCTTTTGGGGTCTTTTGGGGCATTGGCTTGGAAAGATGGGCACTGAAGCGCCTAACTCGTCCACTAACCGGCTCAGATTGTCCGCCAAACGGCCTAGATTGACTCTTGAAGAGCCCCGATTGTCCACTGTAATCAGTGTAGGGCGCAATGAAGCTCTTTCTTCCTGTGCCAAAAAAAGCACAGCTTCAGCCTAATCAAATTACTCCGTTATGCCTTCTTTTCTTTCCAAGCAATTTACATCATCCACCCACTCGCCAGCCATCTCCTCATCCTCCTCCACCCAGCTCTTCATCACCTTTGTCCATTCGTCCATCCAACAAGCCATCTCCGTCCATCCACATCCTTGACCTCGCTAGCACTGCTGGTCCCTGCAAGGGTGCCTGTTATTCTATTCTTCTTTTCTCATCTCGCTCTCCTTCCACCGCACCGGGTTCCCACCCCTCCTTTCTCCTACGCCTCTCGCCAAAGCTTCCCCGCCACGTTTGTCCCCAGCAAAAAGCAAAAAGCAAAAAAACGCAGTGACAGAGCACTGCGACAATCATCGTCGAAAGCTCCTGTCCCATCCAATTTCAACTTGGTCTCGCCTACTAGTTATTTCGCCAACACCTCTCGTTAAAATCGGCTAGTGCCGCTGCACCCTTTTTCCCTTTCAGCCCCTCCATCGTCATCTCCCGACAACAGAAATCGACACCAAAGAGACGAGAGTACGACAAAGCAGGCTCCCTTGCTCCCCTCCGCGTCTGCGTCCACATCCACGGCACCACTCGCACATCCTTGACTCCTGCTGCATCCTACCTGTCTTGTCTCTCGACTCCCCTTGACCAGCAAGGATCCGCCAGCCTCCCGGAACGCTTCCGTACATGCATATAACATCTTGATATTCGCACACTTTTACACAAACGGTAAGCAATTCTCAAAAATGACACTTGCCAGCGATGTTTTCCTGTCGCCCACCCCCCTCTCTTGCTCTCTGCCCTTCCCCCTGGCTGTTCTCTCATTGCCCCTCCCGTACTCGTCTCTTCTACCGAGTATGGAGGGCTGTTCGGCCTGTTCGGCCTGTTCGGCCTCGTCGTCTCCTATCCTTTTTGGTGTTGCGTTGCTCCAACCTCGTACCGCTCTGCCGGTGCGATGCTGTGCGATGCGCCATGACCTTACCTTCCTTGGCTGGCTGGCCTTGCTTGCGCCCGTTTCACGGCCCTCCATCTTGCGCCCGCTCGCTTTGCGCCTCGCCTTGCCGTCGCCTAACCGCCCGCGTTGCGATACCCCCGCGGTCCTGCCACCACGCACAAGCACCAAGCCCGCCAGCTTGCCAGCAGCTCCTCTGGGCTGACACAGACTTTCCTGTGTTCTGGATACGAATAAGCTACATCATGTACTAGGCATCGTCCTACCTCTCTGTCGCAGTGACGCATGCTGCAACGCATGTAGGCCTTGTCTGGCCTGGCTGGCTGGTCATCCTGATGCAGACATGGCTGCAGCCTCCACGTCCACGCCCAACCGTACCAACCATACCAGACAGTACCCAGCCATATCAGCCATACAAGGAAGCCATGCAAACCGTCCCATCCATCCGTCACAAGCGTCAACGGCCACCCACGCCCGCACCCGCACGCACCTCTGACTCCGGCTCCGTCGTCTGGCCTCGCCTCGTCTCGCTGCCCCGCGGCTCGAACCCGGTGGCGGAAGACCCCTGCTCCATACATATACACCACTCCCTGCCCCTGCCGCTCCCGCTCCCGCCCTCTTTCTACCCTACTTCATGCTTTCCTCCACATCTTGCTCGCTTCACTTCTGCCACCTCAGATTTCATCTTTCAGTTTTTAAGCCTATTGCCTCGCTTTCCATGCTTTCTCTTGCCCCCCAACGCTCTGCCGTCTCGCCCTCCTCGTCTTCCTACCCGCCCACCTACCCCTGCTCCGAAAGCTGCGCCTGTACCAACATGCCAGCTGAGGACGGTGAAGATGATGTTGGTTCCTGCAACAAGCGCCTCTCGGGGTATGCCGCATGCCCCACGCAATGTTGCTGACTCTCGGCGCTCTAGTACACTGACGACGAAATGGAGATTGACCTCGGAGATGCGGTGGACATGCCCACATTCAGTCAAATCTTAGAGATGGACGAGCCCGGCGATCGCGAATTTTCTTCGTCCATTGTCTTTGGATTCTTCGACCAAGTCGAAGAGACATTTGCTTCCATGGATAAGGCCGTGTGAGTAGCTACCGACCCTGACTGCTCCAGGCGCGCGACGACTGACATGCGCAACAGCGAAGCCAAGAACCTCGAGGAGCTCTCATCGCTTGGCCACTTTCTCAAAGGTTCTTCAGCTACCCTTGGCCTCGTTCGAGTACGTGACGGATGCGAAAAGATTCAGCGCTTCGGGAAGCTCGAAAACGAGGACGGCTCATCAGAACCCGACGCCGAGCTGTGCCTAGAGCGCATCAAGGAAGCCCTCGCCACCGTAAAGACAGACTACCAGGCTGCCGAAATAAAACTTCGCGAATTTTACAAGGAAGATGGCCAGGCGGCCTAAATCTCGCCACCTGCACGGCCTGAAAACCGTGGAGCCGTGTGCCTGCATCCGCCCGGAAAATCGATTTGCTACTAGCGACATGACTACGAGCGCTACCGGCGCATTGGCACGAACAGCGTTGGACAACTATGGCAGGATTGAATGCACAATCCCAGAGCATGGCATCAAACGGATGTCGCATGCGCTATACCGGACGCTTGTACAGATTAGACAAACAAGATCGGGGAGGACGGGGACGAGTTGGTTGGATACGAATAGCCAGCGTGGTTCGCTGCATGACATTGGGGGCGCTATTTGGAATACCACGTTTGCATCGGCAGAATTTCCAAAAGGAAACTGCTTTCATGAGTCAAAGACATTATCTTGAGTTCTTGCTTTTTTTTTGTGCCTGGTTGAAGCTGACTGCCCACTAAGCAAATGGTGAGGGAGTAAGGGACTGCGTGGACGGTGCGCATAATTGGATAGAAGCGAATTCTGTTCGTACTCTGCTCTCCTACTTGAGACGAAATTCCCCCGGCCCAAATTCCCATCGCTATAAATATCTGAAGAATGGCTGCGCTGTTGATCTTGAAATGCATGGCGTGCCTGGAGCCTAACCAACCTAGGCTTCTTTCCTCATGACTCCCCGCCCGTTCCCCAACTCCTTTGCCACATCAGCGCCATTCAGCACGCATTTTTATTCACGTATTCGTCCAAGTTTTTTTTATTTCTTTATCCTGTACTTTCCTCTTACCCATCCAATCTCCACTCCCGTCAACGCAAAAGAAAATGGCAGCTCGTCGGGCTGCACGGGCACGGGCACGGGCGCCTGCACGCCCGACGCACTTTCTCTGCATCCCCCTCTTGCGGCGGCAACTCGCGCACAACGTCGCTGCCTTTCGCGCCGACGTGACCAACATCAACTCCGCCGCGCCGCTGCCGCCATCCGCGGTGCGACCGCCGGGCACGATGCACATCACTCTCGGCGTGATGAACCTCGCGGAGCCGGCTCGTCTGGAGCGAGCGCTGGAGTTACTGCGACAGCAGCAACGGCAACGGCAACGGCAAAGCAGGCTGTGTCTGACGCTGAAGGGGCTGCGCGCGATGCAGGATCCGGCCGCCACGGGGGTGCTGTACGCGCCGCCGGCGGATGTTGAAGGACAGGCGGCGGGTGGGCTGCGGGCGTACTGCGAGGCGGTGAGGCGCGCGTTCATCGAGGAAGGGCTGATGGAGCCGGACGGCAGGCCGTTCGTGCTGCACGCGACGGTGGTGAACACGGCGCACGTGAAGAGGGGGCGAGGGGAGAGGTTGATGCTGGATGCGAGGGGGTTGTTGGAGGAGTACGCGGAGCATGTCTGGCTGGACAGGCATGAGGTAAGGAGTCTGGCGATTTGTAGGATGGGTGCGCAGCCGAAGGGGACGGAGGGGGATGAGGCGTATGAGGTGGTGGAGGAGGTGAGAGTGTGAGGCAAAGGGGGGATGTTGGTTTGCCTGTGCTTCAGAATGAAGGGTGATTCGGCAACAGGGACAGCAATACGGAAGGCATTGCCATATTGGTCATGGGGGGGCTGCATGCCACGATGCTGACGCTGGAGATATCTCATGCGATGTGGACACACCGCTCCTGGTGATGCAGAGTCGGTCGGTCGAGTTCGAGGCGCGGCTCAGGCGACCAAGAACGAGAACGGAGCAGCCCGAGGCAATTTATAGGCCTCACAACTCATTGAAGCACCTACGAAATTCCATTATAGGATCTACAATTGTAAAGATGCACCTGTCGCGAGGCCAGAGACCAGGTCAGCTTCCAGGGCGAAACGTGGCGGCGAGTCCAGCATAGTGTTGGGAATCCCGAGGCTTAACACGGCTTATCCTTATGGGATTACTATTTCTGTGCTATTTTGCTAAATACAATGGCCGCCGTATTTGAATCCTGGCTTTAACATGTATACTGTATCTGTGCTGGTAATGAAGTGTTTGCCAACGATGTGGGCAAGGCTACTTCAGAGGCCGGTGTCTGGGTAGAGCCAAGGCAATTAGATTCAAAAAAAAAAATAACAGGCATAATCAACGCGTGCGATAATTTCTATCACGGCTAAATTATATGACAGCTAAATTATATCACAGCTAAATTATATCAATGTACAAAATGTTGTTCCCCTATCCTCCGGGCCTGCAGCTGACTTATACCTACACGTGAAGCTGCCTTGCCCCTCCGGCCACAGCCCCGCGCTGACCTCACTCCTCAACCAACCTCAACGCGGTCGGTCTGTCCACGTCGCACCTCACGCCTCTAGGCAGCCACATTGGCAATTGAACTCGTCTCTCTATACCCCTCTATTCTATCACAAGAATACCTACTCAAGAGGCCTTCTCTGGTTTCACGATACCAACGCGGCCATGCGTGACGACCTGTAGCCGCGATTCCCCGCCCACGAGATCAACACCACAACCCGTCATGAGCGCCTCCGACAAACGGCGCGCCCACGGCGTCACCGGCAACCACGTGCTTCGGACGGCCACGTCAGTACGGCATGCCCACCACAGCTCCGGTAGCTCTGCTGGGGCGCCGTCGCCCAGCAGCACCCACTCAGTCAGCGGCGCAGGCAGCCATCTGCCAGCCGTGCCGCAGCGCGTGGCTGTGGTCAATCCCAGCTCCGTGTCCGACGACACCCACGAGACCTCGGAAAAGGACAAGGAGAAGGACAAGGAAAAAGACGGCACAGGGGCGAGCAGCAGCAGCGGTGGCATGACCCCCCGCACCTCATCCTCGTCCTCCGCCGCCGCCGCCGCCCGCGCCGCCAAGGACAAGCAGCGCGAGCGCGAGTCGGCCAGCCTCGCCGCGCAGGTGCGCCACAAGGACGAGCGGATCGCGCACCTCGAACGCGAGCTGGACACGATGGAGCGCGAGTTCCAGCACCAGCTGGACAAGCTGAGCGCAAGCGAGAGCGAGACGGCGACGTTCTGGCAGGCCAAGCACAGCGCGCTGCACCAGCGGCACCTGCGCGCAGACACGGAGCTGCGGCTGCTGCGCGCCGAGGTGGACGTGCGCGAGGCGGAGCGCGCGGAGCTGCGGCAGGGCTGGGAGGCGCTGCGGCGCGAGCTGCAGGGGCGCGACGAGGAGGTGCGCGCGCTGCGCATGCAGGTCCGCGGGCTCAAGGAGTTTGTGAGCACGAGCACACGCGCGGACGGGCAGGCGAGCGACGAGGTGTTTGGCGACGGCATGGCGAGGCTGGGCAACGGGCTGCAGAACTGGGTCATTTCACATTTTCGCAGGGCAAAGTTGGGTAGGTTTTTGTGGGTGAATGTGGTGTGCGTGAGTCGTGCTGACTTGTTGCTCCTAGATTTATCGACGCTCGACGACGAGACGACGGAGGAGATTAGCAACCTCATCCCCATGTACGAAGAGCTCGCGACCACGGCCAAGGTGCACCTGCTGCAGTCGGTGGTGTCGCGGATCCTCGTCGACATGGTTTTTGACGCCTACTTTGTCGGCCTCTCCGACGACCAGACGCGGCAGCTGTGCCAGATGGAGGAGACTCTCGGCGAGCTCTGCGGCGACAGCGGTAGCGGCGAGTCCGTCAACCGGTGGCGCGCGGCTACGCTCTCGCTGCTCCGACGGGAGGGGTCGCCGGCGCTGCTGCGGGACGGCGCGACGGCCGTTGCCGAGGCGGTGGTGGCACAGACGAGCCGCATCCTTGACCGGTTAACAGGCGGAAGCAGCGGCGGCGGCGGTAGGGAATCGCGTGACGTGACGCTGCGGGCACTGGTCAACGACGCGATCGAGCTGGCGCGGCTGCTGGTCGTGCAGAAGGCGGTGCTGCGCGTATGCATGCCGCGCGTGCTGCCGCACGAGCGCGTCTTCTTCGACGCGAGCACGATGGAGGACATTGGCGGCGGCGCGGAGGAGGAGGAGGAGTATGACGATGGAGAGGGTCAGGGGATGAGGCGGCGGCGGGAGGTGCGGTGCGTGGTGTTTCCGGGGGTGGTGAAGCGCGGCGACGAGGAGGGCGCGCAGATGCAGTATAGGAACGTCCTCTGCAAGGCCAAGGTGGTGTGTCGGCAGGACTAGACGCTCTTGCAAAAGGCCAGATCACTTGCTCAGATTAGATTTGAATATAAAATCAAAAATATTTAGTGTCACTCTTTCGCAGCGGTAGCTTGCACGCCGCGTATGCTGGCCTTGTGGCTAACGTGACAAAGCCAAAGCATAAACAAATCGCTCCGGGCGGGCCTGAAGTTGAATGAATGCCTGGTCATTAAAAAACTTGCTCAGGCTACAAACCTAAATTGGAACAATGGCTTTGTTTCTGGAATAAACATCATAGTCTGCATCCGACCATCTACATACAGACGCGAATCGCAACCTTTCCACCACCAGAACTCCTAACATTCAGAAAAACAAACCCATTCACCACCAAGACATCATGATTCCTCTATATAGGATCGTCGAACTCCTCTACATCTACACCTACGGGTCCAGGTCTGGCCGTCCGCAGTCGCGCACCACGGAGCTCGCACCTGTGCACCTAAGCACCCTCGGCCGGTACCGGTACTACGCCACGCGACAGGAGACGGCCGAGTACTTTCTGGGTGCCTTTGTGTTTCCGTTCATCTTCTTCATGTGGGGTCGCTGGCACGCATACCACCGGCTGCCGGGGACGTTGACGGGCTGGCTGATCGCCTTTGCGCTGGTGTTTGTGATGTCCTCATGGAACCAGCTACAACACCGCGCTGGCTGTTAGGAATCAGCGTATGCGTGACAACCGGCAGGAGTAGATCAAGGCTATAAGCTCCTCAATTTGAAAGTGGTCCGAATTTTGTCACGTCTTGTTGTTGGGGAAGTCGGCCGGATGTAGGAGGAAGGCGTGAGGAAGGTGGGAGATACACTAAACACCAGCGGTCGCGGTTTTGGAAGGAACGATTGTCATAATGCAAGTTGTCAAATATGATGCTCTCTTTCCCTCATTTTCTTCTATCCTTTTCCCTTTTCTCTGCAGATTCGAACAGCGATACATAACGTGCAGCGAACTTTTTTTTTTAATTAATAATTATTAATTATAATGGATGTAAGACTTCCTCGCCTCGTTGGACATTTCTCAAACCTCCCGAATTTCTCAGGCTCCTCAGATTTCTCAGGCTTCTCAGACTCCTCAGACTTCAACCTAGCAAAACAATTCTCATAGATATAAAGCTAACACATCTCTTAGATTTTATCCTTTGCCACCTCTCCTTGCTTCTTGGCTTGGTGCGCGGCGATCCTTGGTGGTGCGGCGATTTGCAGGGCCACGCCGGAAGTTCGGATTCCTCTCGTTGAGCGGATGAAAAGGCTGATGGACGATGAAGATGTCGGGCATTTTGTCTGGGATCTCATCGGCGCTCTCCTCCTCGGCAATCCGCCTCAAGAGGGGAACCAAGCCCAAGCTGGGAGGTAAGGAACAGGTGAATTTTCGACAAGCCCAGTCCGTCGATGGTTCAGCCGGGGCCCACCGCGCAATATACTGCGGCTTTGACGCTTATTACTATCACGAACATGAAGCCTTCAGGCACACCCTCGAGTTCGAGTCAAGCGAAGAGGATGTTGGAAAGGGACTCTGAGAATTGGACCACATCAAAACTCGGAAAATCCGACCGACTGTTTCGTTGTAAGTTCTACGTGATCCTGAGCCCATCACACAACACTAACAAGTTCCTAGCACGACTACGACTCCATGAGCATACGACCAACCGCCTCGGCCACAATCCATTTAGGCCGTTCCTCACATCTGAATCTCCTCATCAACTATACGGACAGATAAGCCAGACAAGCCGGACAGGCTGGAAAGGCCAGACAGGTTGTACAGGTCAGAAAGACCAGGCAGGCCAGACAGAAGCATGGGCATACGACAAACCAAGATGGCGGAGAAGGCTATGGGTCATTTTTGGAAGAAATGCGTTGGAAGGGCACAAGAGCAGGGTGCTAGATCTGTATCGGAGTTTTGGATATGACTGGATGCATTGGATATGGCTGGATGTGTTTGAATATGACTGGATGTCGGCTTTGAAGCAATCAGGACCGAAGGTGGAATTTAGAAGGAGGCGTTGGGACTGATAGTGCCAGGTTCACTCAACCACGAAGATAAAAAGAAAAAAACCCCTGTAATGGCAGCTCACAGCCTAGAAAGTACAAAGATGAGAAACGTTACAAAAATAATAAAGACCACAACAGTGACAAATTGATGGTAATAATGAGAAATCGCATCCGCATCATCTTGCTACTTCACCTCGGCCTACCCGGTAGGTACCCCCCATGCAAAAGACCTTTGCGCTTGATTACTAAATCATCCAATATTGAACAAGTTTTGGCACCATTCACACAATCATGTCATGTCCGTCCGACCACTCGCAATAATACCTTCAACGCCACATGTACGCCGAAGGTGGAGAGTGTTGATCTACGGGTTCCTGTCTTGGCTCCTTGGCCAGCGGGTATAACCGCCCTGTCTCAACCTCCGAGCCTCACAATTTCTCAGCTACGGATATTTATAGGAACTTTTGTACGGCAAAGAAGAAGAAGAAATAAATTCCCGAGAATAAGCGACGGCCATTGCAGCTGTCAGGCCAAAACGTGGCTCGGAAGCAATTCCCGGGACCACATCGCCATTTGTCTCGGCGATGGCAACATCGCCCAGACCCGGTTCTCGCCCCTCCGACTGGCTTTTGCACTCTGCACATGGCATATTTCCGTCTGCCACAAATGCAAGCAATTGCACCGCTCATCCGCTCATTGGCGGCCCCTGCTAGATCAATGTCACCATATTCTTCACCATGACCGCCGTGGTGGCAAGGTTACATGGCGCGCTCGTGCTAACCAAGAAGTTCCTTCGTATCGGCGGGGGGCCGCTGTTGGGGGGTTGATCAAAAGGGCAGGTCGATTACTTGTTAAAAGGCAGAGCGGCCGCTGCTCATGCAGGAATGCCGCTCCCCAGGATAGACAGACTATCGACCTCTCGTCAATTTCAATTGCGGCCCGATCACCATGGCGAGCGAAAAGACGCCCGTCGACGTTCAGCCTACCGACAGGCTGCAAACGAGCCTGGACGAAAAGGCGACGGAGAAGCCAGAGATTGCCGCCAAGGATGATGCCGCATCGACTGACACGGCCGAGAGAGTCAAGGGACACCCCGTCATTCGAAATGGTAAACCTCAATGCCCTCATCTTCCACCACCTTCACCACCTTCTCCCTGTGGCTAACGTCTGCAAACAGGCGAGGACGTCTCCAAATACCTGGTCTCGGATCGCGATGATGGCGACCCAGCACTGACGTTTCGCTCCATCTTCCTCGGCACCGTCTTCACGGCCTTGTCCAGCGTCATCACCATGCTCTACGTCTTCAAGCCGACGCAGATGCAAGTCTCTGCCGTCTTCCTCCAGCGTATGCTCCCCCCTTCCTCCTGCCTCAACGTGTCATCTCACCTCTAACGACCTGCAGTCCTCATCTTCCTCTTCGGCGAGGCCTGGGCCTACGGCACGCCCAACCCCTCACGCTTCCGCAGCCCTGCCGTCCAGCGCGTCCTCCGCTTCCTCAACTCCGGCCAGTCGTTCGGCATCAAGGAGCACGTCGTCGCCTCGCTCATCGCCTCCTCTGGCAACAATGGCCTGTCCGGCGTCGAGATCTACGCCGTCGAGCGACTCTTCTACGACCGCGCCGTCAGTGCCTCCACAGCTGTGCTTGCCACATTCTCCATCTCCCTCTGCGGTTTCGTCCTCGCCGGTGTACTGCGTCCGCTCATCGTCTACCCGGCCGAGATGGTCTACTGGACCACCCTTCCGCAGGTCGTACTCTTCCAGAACCTGCACTTTGACCGCGCCGCCAACCGCGCCCGCCTCGCCAAGTTCTGCTGGGCCCTCGGCCTCGCCGCCGTCTGGGAGATTTTCCCCGCCTATATCATGACTTGGCTCGGCGGCATCTCCATCTTCTGCCTGGCCTCGATGGGTGCGCCCGAGCAGACGCGCACAACCTTCGGCCGCATCTTCGGCGGCGCCTCGTCGAACGAGGGGCTTGGCCTCCTCAACTTCAGCCTCGATTGGCAGTACATCCAGAGCACGTACCTGTCGCTGCCGCTCAAGCAGCAGCTCAACACCTGGATCGGCTACGCCATCTGGTACGTCGTGGTGCCCGTGCTCTGGTACCGCAACGTCTGGGACGCGAAAAAGTTCCCCTTCATGTCCACCTCGCTCTTCTCCAGCAACGGCACGCGCTTCGTCACCACCTCGATCCTCAACGACCGCGGCACCATCGACTACGACAAGCTCGCCCGCGTCGGCGTCCCCCAGCTCACCTCCACCACCGCCTGGGGCTACCTGACCGCCAGCCTCGCCATGGGCGCGCTGATCACGCACGTCATCCTCTTCTACGGCCCGGGCATGGTCCAAGCGTGGAAGCAGGCCCGCGCGCGCACGCAGCCCGACATCCACTACCAAAAGATGCTCAAGTACAAGGAGGTCCCGATGTGGTGGTACCTCGCGCTTTTCGTGCTCACCTTCATCGCCGGCCTCGTCGTCAACATCCGGGGCGACACGACGCTGCCCGTCTGGGGCTACATCATCTCGCTGCTCCTCGGCGCCGTCATCGCGCCCTTCTCGTGCATCCTCTACGGCCTGTACGGCACCGGCATCGGCACCAACCAAATCTCCAAGATGGTCGCCGGCGCGACGCACCCGGGCCGCCCGCTCGCCAACCTCTACTTCGCCAGCTGGTCGCACCAAGTGATCCTGCTCGCCGTCAACCTCGCCAACTGGCTCAAGGTCGGCCAGTACACCAAGGTGCCGCACCGCGTCATGTTCTTCACCCAGATCTACGGCACCCTGCTCGGCGCCGGCCTCAACTACGCCGTCATGACCTCCATCGTCTCCGCCCAGCGCGAGGTCCTCCTCGACCCCCTCGGCACCAACGTCTGGAGCGGCTCCACCATGCAGAGCCTCAACGCCCAGGCCATCACCTGGGCGCTCGCCACCGAGATGTACGGCCGCCACGGCCGTTACTTCGTCGTCCCGCTCGGCCTGCTCATCGGCGCCGTCTTCCCCGTCGTCCACTGGGCGCTCTGCCGCGCGTACCCGCGCATCCGCAAGTGGCCCATCAACACCACGTTCATCCTGCAGTACATGGGCACCACCTACTTTGGCAACACCTCCTGGCTGTGGTCCTCTTTCGCCGTCGGCGCCTTCTCCCAGCTCTGGCTGCGGAAGCGCTACCCGCGCATCTACAACGAGTACAACTACCTCATCGGCGCGGCGCTCGACGGCGGCTCGCAGATTGTCATCTTTATCCTGTCCTTTGCCGTCTTCGGCGCGAGCGGCCAGTCGCACCCTTTCCCGACGTGGTGGGGCAATCCGGCGGGCAACCCGGACCACTGCATATAAGCATCATCATCATCATCATGTACATAGATAAAGATCAATTAAATTTTGATACATTTTCCAAAATGATGCGTTTCTACGGTAAACCAATCTCGAGACAACGTATGCCACCGAGTGCGGCTCTTCCATCCAATCCGTGATTGTTGCACACTTTTTGACCAACGCCAGCCGTAGATACCAATACACAGACAATAGACAAGTCAAAATCATCCCAAAAGTTTCATCTGCTTTCTTGGAGAGCCCTTTGATCTGTCCCTGGGAAGTCGCGCGTCCAGTTGCGCGAGTGAAGCTTGCGCGTCGGGTAGCTCTGATCGGGGGGTCGAATGCCCAGGCCCTCCTTGGGCTGGAGTTGACGAGTCGTACACGGGCCCGTTGGTCTCCAGTATGCTGTTACTCGACTGCAACTCATCAGTACGGCTATAATACCCGGCAACTTTCTCTAAATTCAACTTACCCTTGTCCCCACAAACGTCTTCCTCATAAATGCCTTCCCGCGCGACGGATCAACCCACAGCATGACCGCTGCTTCTTCCGATGCCAGCGTCATGAAGGACAGCACCAGCGCACAGCTCTTCGACGTCAGCTCTCGCGAGGTCGCCTTGCGGCGGATGTCGATGGGTCTCGCGTTAAGGTTCGACGCGAGGTACAGGTGGCCGTTGTCGTTCACCAGGGCCAGTTCCCGTCCCGAGGCGGAGAAGGCGGCGCACTTGATCCTGTTCCCCAGCTTTCCATGGGCACTGCCCGAGCTGGCCTTGACTTCTGTTCGGTGGCCGTCGTTTTGCTGGATCAAGACGGGAGCGCCGGACTGGGTCCATGTCGTGACGCACAGCAAACCCTCCTCGGCACCCTGCTGCGAGCGCATCATCACCGAGGATATCCCGTTATCCTCCGACTCGTGCATGGGCACCGGGTACCGGCATCCGCTTAGCTCCTCGAAACTGTCAAATGGGAACCGCCACAGGTATATCTGCACGACGCCCTTGGCACTGCGTGTGCTTGCGACGAGGCTGAGACCGTCTTGCGAGAATGCTAGCGTATCGACCGAGGGACAGCTCTTGCAGGTGCTGTGAAGCTTGGAATGCAGGGAATCTTCTCGCGGCTGCTCCGCCGTGGCAGTCTTGAAGAATCGCACGAGACTGTTTTCGAACCCGACCACAACATAATTCTCCTGTCGATCGATTGCAATGCTTTTACACCAGTGGACTGACGGCACTCTATATTCAGTTACTGTTGGCATCGTCTGAGTGAGGTCCATTATCCGAAGCTACCGTTGTGTTAGTTTATCCCCGGTCTGCAGTGCGTAGAGTCTTACCGTCAATTTTTGCTCGCGGCTGCCCATCACGTATGCGACATATCGTCTGCCAACAGTTGCCAAGATGCAGGTGCTGTCTGTCGGTATAGTTCGAGTCTGGCTAGGGGGAGTTGTGCTGAGATCCCAAACATGAATCATGGACTGACTCCAGAGCAGCCCATAGGCTGAGCTGGTTGAGAGTGCGACATGTATGTTGGCGATGGCCTTGGTCTTTGTAGCAGACTTGAGTCCCATACCAACTAAACCCCTTAGTGGAATTTCTTCCATGGGTTGCTCATCAACCTGATTAGATGAGACGGAGCTCGATTCTCCAGAAACGGTGGGTAGTGGTCGTTTTCCTGATGGGAAGAGGATTGGTACTCTCCATCGCTGGCGTGACTTGTCGGGACCTACTGGTAATTTTTGAACGGCAGGGTATGTCATCGATGGCTCCCTCATACTTGGTTTGCCGGAAGATATAGTGTCGATAGAGAAATACGACAGCCCTGCTACTGAACTGTTGCCTTGCTGCGAGTGGCTGCTCCCTGGAGTGATTTCAGGCGACATTTCTCGTCTAGGGGGTTCAGCAGTGATCCAGGGTCTTATATGAGCTAGAAGTGAATTCTCCTTTTTGGAGATTGAATATGATGGCCCCAGGGAATTGTTGCTCGATTGGTCCATGATCGAAGGCGCAGTCTCCTTTGTTACGGACGCCGCGTGTGTTGGCATCATTTGCGCGTCAAGAGCCGCCGGAATAGTTCCACCAAATCCGGCTGTAAAAGTGCTGTAGCTGAACCCTTCGTGAGGTTCTATGTCTGGGGATCCATACTGGAAACTGTTCAACATGTGGCGTTCGACATTAACGGAATCGGCCTTGACCTGGAGTGGGCTTAGCAACTCCCAGACCTTTCTTGCCAGGGGAAGTTCGCGTGCGACAGTCACGGTCTTTTCGCACATGATGCATTTTGAGGACTCTGGCAATGCAATTTCTTGGACAGGGATGGAATCCAGCTAGAAGGAAGGTCAGCCCTTGTTCCGGGTAGCCTCGTCGAATACCTACCACAGTATTGATCCCATTCGCCCTGAGCTGCGCGCCCCCAACTGTGTGGTTATTCGGGCAATTCAGCACATACTGCGAAGGGCTCTGCGATCCGATGGAGCTTGCATCGGGGTCGTCTTGAATTTGTATACTTCTAGTGATTCTGGAGATGCTGACTGCCGCCTCCCTGTCGCTTGTGCGCTGAACAGCCTGCCTCTGATTCAGTTTTTCTGTGAGCTCATCCAACGCGTCAGCTATGTATTCGCCTCTACTGGGCTCATCAAAACTTAGAGTCGACAAGTCCGGTGTGTCCCACAGAATCAAGCGGAACCAGGCATTGAACGACGCCACGACGTCAGCCTTGGAGAATTGGCTCGGTAATCGTAGACTCTGGAGGGCTGTAAAGACGGCGTTTCGGGATGCCATTGCATCTTTCCGGATCTGCAGATCGCTTGTCGCGGCTTCAGCGGCGTGCTGTATTGACGCGCCTATTACATACAACGAGACGTCTCGCAGCGCGAGGAACTGTGATATCCAGTTGCTTGGCGCAGCGTCCTCTGAGACCAGCTCCAGGATTGATGATGGCAGCAGGCAATTAGTCAATGGGAACTAGGATGATTAGCTTAAAAGTTTTATGGCAAAGGCAGGTCTGTACTCACCAACTCAGCAGTCAGGTTTGGGGTTGCCTGTTGCATCTTTAGCGGTAGGCTCAACGAATGGGCATCCTCGTGAAGACGGCCGGTTATTTCCTTGCACATGTTGAGCAAGAAAGACTTTGGGCCTGGATAGGCGTCAAATATTTGTTCCAGCAGCCGATGAATCCTAGCAAACCGGGCGCGGCGATCTTTGGGCCGCTGCATCGGCGGCGATCTGGGATGGAGGTGCAGCACGCGGAGGGCGTTGATCAGAAACTCGGCGAGGTATTCATCTCGCAGTGCGGTGGCTTCCCATAGACTATCACGGCCCTCAACAATGGTTTGAAGGACCAATTCCATGGTACGTGCCGCAACCTCCCAGCTAACAAGGAACCCAAGGAAGGGGCCAGGCTGCACTTGCCGGGATGGGATGGTAAGGCGTTGAATGTAGAAGATGGCATCGAGCTGGACCAGGAGATTGATGATGATATTCTGGTATTGCGTCTTTTCTCCAGCTGCCAGGTAGAGTTTCTCGAGTGAGAATCGGCCCAGAAGCTCGAGAATGATGTCATCTGCATCGCTGCGAAGCGCAAGCTGTCTCCAGATGGTGGTGCGCCTGGTGAAGCATGACGACGGGACCGACGACGCCATAGCTACCGAAGACGGTTTTCGATAGATGTGATGTCGACTTGAGGATGGAAGGAATGACACAAGAGGATCTCCTGACAGACACGATGAAATCCTCTTGCCCTGGCCGGGCCGGACCCTGGATGGGATGGAGGGTCAACGGGTGACGGTGGCGCAGCGTTGGAGGAGGTGGACAGACGACAAACGGCTATCGGGCGAGCGCTGGGGGCGGTGCGGGCGGCGGTGCCTGCAGTCAGTGGCCTCCCGGGGCGTCTGGGGGCGGGGAAGAGGGGGTTTTTAGCGGGTTTTCTGTCTTGTTCAGTGGGTTTAGCGGACTTGATAATGCTCAGCTTGGTGGACGGCCCGCTCACCTGGGTCACTGAAGTGGTTGCCTGCAAATTTAGCAGCGACTACTGGAAGAGAAGCGATCAAGCTTATCCTGACCTCAGCTTCAGCCTTACAAACAAACTGGTGATGAAGATGGGAGACGCAGCCTCCATCCGCCATCGGCCACGTAACAGAAATCTATCCGCTCTAGGGTGTGTGAGACTGCCCTTACCCCTCTTTCCGCGTCCTGCACGCAGCAGACAGGCCAAGCCTCCCCATCCTCGATGGTGGTGTGCCGTCGTCTAGGAGGCGTCCAGCTTCACCGAGCGAGCAGAACCAGGTCTGCGATATGCGACATGCGACATGCCGCAAGGCTCTGCGCCGCCGCCCTGCTCATCTTCAACCGTCCCTCAACTTTTATCGTCCACTGGCGTCAACCGCCAGCCAATCTTGGCGCACCAAGCTCCGGAGCAATGTCTTCAAACTGGATCGTACGGCCTAGGTCGCTTCGGATGAGGCTGCATCCCGGCCCTGTCATTGGCGGCTTCGTCTCCACGACAAGCGGTTATGCTGGCTGGTGCGTTGTTACGCTGCAACCATGTTGAAAAGGGAAGCTGGCCAAGGCTACATTCCGCAGTACCACGACCCTGTACCACTGCAGGCAGGCGGCGCTGTTTTCTTTCCCTCTCGTGTCTATGGTCGGCTCTGACTGGCTGGCTGGGAGCATAGATTAAGCTAGAACCGATATAGCAGCCTGCGTGATGCTTTGCCGTGCAAGGCCTTTTGTTGTCAGCCGCACGGCAAGCAAAAATAGGCCCTTGTTGCATGGCACTTTTTCAGCTGAGTGGGCAGAAGAGCTCTTTATTCGGTACGACGCCGTCAAGCCTCCTATTTCCCACTTCGTCACCGTCGTCTGTTATTACCAACGCTAATTCTAATTCAGTAGCAATCTCCTTCACATGCTGACCCGTTCGCGAACCATTCATCAGAGGTTTACCGTCAGGACGCCTTGCCTGCCTCTGCTTCATCGGGGCTGTGTGCCTCGCCATCTCAGCTGTGCCGATCGTAGGGCCATGTTGAATTTGCCAGCCGTTGTTGACTCGACCACTTGAGCACAGGGGATTCGCCCGCAAGCATCGGCCTCCTTTCCAGCCTCTGTCTACGAGGATCCGCCAGCCACGCAAGTTTCTCTATATCAATTTGGTCAAGCCCGTTTTGGCTTGCCCTTCTACGGTTGCAGTACCCTATCCGGCATCTGGCTGGGAGTGCATAATTTCAGCGGAGCGCGCACAACTTGCACAATGCGCTACGACGGTCACGATATTCACATCATCGAGTCTGGTCAAGATGTCGAATTCGAAGACACCGCGCCACCGCGCGAAAAGATGAAGCGCAGTGGCGACAGCCTCTGGTACGGATCGCGACGATAATGACACAGCCGATATCCCGCGTGGCGCAATGGACACTAACCCCTTGTGACACCACAGGCGAGTGCTCAGCGAGAGGAATATCAATGTATGAGTTTTCGACCAAAGATCACATGTTGCTTCACTAACATGCCCAGATGATTGCGTTTTCAGGGTAGGTCAACTGCCAGACCATCACGTTAGCGATACCAACTGATTTCTAGTTCCATTGGCAACGGTAAGCTCAGTGCAGCATTTGTGTTTGGTTCGTATATTGATTTGGTTATTACAGGCCTTTTCCTAGGAAGTGGCATTTCCATAGCCAGTGCGGGCCCGGGTGGTGCTGTCATGAGTTACCTCATTGTCGGTACAGTAATAGCTTCCATTATATCTTGCCTCGGCGAGATGACAGCCTTGATGCCTGTCAACGCCCCAATGATGGAATTCCCACGTCGCTTTCTAGACCGCGGTGTCGGTTTCGCCGTCGGTTGGGTATACTGGTAAATTTAACTCGGCCGAGAGAAAGGTAGCTCATCTGCTAACCGAACAGGTTTGCATATGCTGTACTCGCAGCGAGCCAGGTTGTAGCTTTCGCAAATGCGCTGCGATTCAGTTATGACGACACAGATATTGGAGGGAAAACAAACATCCAATGGAGCATTGGCGAGAATGTTGACAGCGCCGTTTGGATCAGCATTTGCCTAGTCGTCATTGTCGTCATCAACTTCCTTCCCGTTATCGTAAGTGCGCCGCCATCTGAAGCAAGCCAGTGCCAACTAATTGACTCACAGATATACGGCGAACTCGAGTATATTTTCGGGTGCATAAAAATGACATTGCTCGTTATTTTGATCATGACAATGCTTGTATTCGATGTTATGAACCGTGAGTTCTCTTCTTTTTGTAATTCTTCTACTGCTAACTAGCTGTAGCCCGCCCTGGAGCATACTATACGAAGCCCCTTGGAACCAAGTGTAAGCTCCTTTAGTCTTTGATCTTGTGCGACCAGAAGCTGAATGAGCAGACTGGGACAAACCATACGGCTTCTTGAATGAGTTGTATCATGTCACAGACGACGCCGGCAATGTGCAACGAACCATTACAGGCCCCATCGGCTCACTTCTTGGCGTGTGGTGGGTATCTACACATTACTCTTATCACCAGTCTTTGCTGATTCATCAGGACTACTTTTATCAATGTCATGTTCTCTTACATTGGCATGGATATCGTCGCCGCCACCGCCGCTGAGAGTCGCGCCCTTGCCGACTCGGAGAGCATGAAGATGGCCGCCCGCAAGATCAACATTCGCATCATCACTCTCTACGCGCTCGCCGTCACCACTGCCTCCTTTGTCGTTCCCTACGATCACCCCTTCATCAACGGCGCGGGCACGTCCGTCAGCTCGCGCTCCGTCTTCATCATCGCCGCCGTCGAGGCTGGCGTGCCGATGCTTGCCCAGTTCTTCAACGCAATGTTTGTCGTTTCGGCGTTTACCTGCGCCATCAACTCGCTCTACGTGGCTTCCCGCGTGCTGCACACCCTGGCGCTTCGCGGCCAGACCGGGCCCGAGTTCATCACCAGGCGACTGCGGGCGTGCCGCTGTGGCGTGCCGATCCGAGCCGTAGTGGCGACGGCCATGCTGATGCTGATAGCATACATGGGTAGATCCGGCTCCCCCGGTTCCGTGAGTCTGCCCGGTGACAAACTTCATGTACATGCCTCCCGTTGCTAACGTGCGCAGCGCCTCGACGAGCTTTCCAACAACTGCACAGTGTCGTGCCTGATCGTTTACGCAACCATCTGCGCCACCTACATGCGCTTCTACAACACGTGAGCGGCCAGGCCCTTTCACAGCGAAAACCTTTATCTCGCAACAGTACTAACGAAGCTGTGCACAGGTTGGAGGTCGCCAAGATGAGCGAGGACACGTCCGCCGCGCAGGCCGCCAGCTACGACCGCGACAGCCCCTTGTACCCGTACAAGTCCCACGGCCAGTGGCTCAAGGCCTTTTACGGGCTCGCCGGGAGCTGCGTCCTCCTCATCTTCAACGGCGTGCCCGCCTTTCTCGAGAAGCCCTTTAACGTGCGCAAGTTTGTCTCTGCCTACGTCGGTGTACGCAACCCCCCGTGTGCTGACAAGAAAGAATAGATACCGGTGTACATTTTACTTGTTGTGGGCTACAAGTTCCGCAAGCACGGGTTCCGCTTCTCGCACTGGGGCCCGGAGCGGTCCGACGACCTGAGCAACACGGTGCGGGCGGCGAGCGAGAAGCGCCGCGGACGGCTGGATCTGCCGGACTGGGGGGTCACGAGGGCGAATTGGCAAGCTCTCGGGCACTGGCTCTGGGTCTGGATCAAGTAATCTCGGTCATGGCCCGTTTTCCTTTCTTTTTTGTGTTTCCCGTGCTACATAACCTCCAGGCTTTCTCATCACCTTTTGCTATTGGCGAGTTTGCTATGCCGATTAACATTGCGATCTCTTAATATTTTTCTTCTTTACTTGGCTGAGCATCGGGCCTCATACATACATTCATAGGTATCCGCCCTACGTGGGTAGTACCATGTAAATGCAGATCATTATCACACAAGTACAGGAAAAGGGGCAAGTAATAAGCTGATGAAAATGAGTATATGCTACATCATGACTTTTTCGTACTATGTACATCAATAGATTGACATTTACAATCATGTATAGGGCCGGTCTCCCTTGACTCCGGCCAACATGCTGTCCTTCAGGTCGGGTTGCCGAAGCGCCCAGCGGGGCCTTGGCTCTGACCAAGATGCACTCCTTTACGTCGGTTTACCGAAACGATTGAAACGCGTTGTTCCCTACAGGCGATGCTATGCCAAGCGCGTTGACATGAAGCTCGTCGCGAGCGCGATTGCTTGCCAGCGCTGTCGGCGTATTCGCACAGAATGCGCAAACGTAGACGTTGGTCATGGTGCGTTTCGTGATGCCAATGCATTTACCATGAAGCCACATTTCGCATGAATCACTTGGTCAGGTTAGCAGGGAACAGGATAATTCTTGACCGAGTGACTCACCATTGTACCATGAAAGCCTTCTTGCTGGCGCCAGTTCGTTTGCATACACAACGGATAACCGGCACTTCAGTTCCATAACCAGATTCGGCGAGGCTAGCTGGCGAAACTGTATCACTTGGAAAGTTGCCCAGGTTGGTGAGTAGTCGTCCCGGCATGTTCGACTGGCTCGAACGCATCTGGCGGCTTTCAACAAGCTTGTAGAGCTCGCTGGCAGCGTCCCCACTGGGTCGGCGTTGCTCGTAGAGGGTCGGTTCAGCTTCACTTTCGTCACCGTGCGGCCCACCCTCTGCGCTGGCTGAGCTGCTGCTTCTATCGCTTGTGCTATGACTAGGGCGGTGAAAGATGGAGCCAATGGGTTTCCGAGGATCGGGCAGAGCGTAGGAGGCGGAAGAGGCGGAAAAGGAGTTGTTACGGGAAGGGATGATAATAGGCTCGTCATCCTCGGATTCGGATTCAGAAGAGAGATTCCACGTGGAGCGGGAGGACAAGTTTCTGCTGCTTTGGCATCTTGATAGGCTTTGGTTGATACTGTGCTGGCTCTCCATAGTGGCCTCTGCTCTGGCCCGGCCTCGAGCATCTATAGTAAATCGCACAGATGCAAGTTGTCTAGCCGGTGACGATTCTCGGACCATGGCTAGCGAGGAGAGCCTACGTTGGCTTTTGACGGGTGATATCCTCCCGTTTGGCCTGGCCATCGGGTGGCGAGCGTCAGCCGGACCACTGCGAATATGTGCCATGGGCCGAGCTGCGGGAGCCAACGTCGGCAATGTGTTGCTTCTAACCAACGTTGCACGGCCACGGGGATCCACTGCAGGTTGGTCAAGTCCTTTCCCAGAATTCTTGAGAGGTGCGCTGGCCAGAGTGCGATCCGGAGCTTTGCCTGCATGTTGAGACTTATTCTTCGCTTTGGTGCGGATATCCGGCTTCGTGGTGGTCTTGCCAACAGGGACGGGCATTGCCTGCTCCGCCGCAGAGAAAGCAGGCATGGCAACATCTTGGCCCATCATCAGAGTAGGATCGACGATTTCGCCAGTATTCATCATGGCAAATGGGCTTACAAGCTCTGAAGGGTATTCGCTGACTGTCAAGTGATCAACCGCCTGTGGTTGTGGTGGGGCGTTTTCCTGATTCGAGGAGGGCGGCACCATGTTTGGGTCTTGGAATAGCTGAATATTGGTGTTCCAGTCAAAAGAGCCGGTTTGTCGATGGCCGTTTCCTGCGGGGGGAAATAACCCTTGGGTGGCATTGAAATCGAGGTCCATGCCCATAGATGTGTTGGGATCCCAAAAGTTGGAGGGAGCCCCGGCAGGGGCGGACAGAGGGTACGAAAAGATATCACCAGGGTTGGCCATAAGCGCCGATACATCATGGGGCTGGGATCCCTCGGCAAAATCCGGTTGGTGAAAAGGCTGATCATATTGCATGTTGGAATTGGGAGCGAGCTTCTGCTCTCCCTTGTGGGCGGTTGGTGGTGGAGATATAATATGAGAGTCGGAGTCCTTGGTGACAGTGCCTCGACGAGGCTTCTTGGCAGACCTGGCTTTGTTGAGGGAAGGACTTGGTACCGGAGTGGTCTCTCGTAAAGAAGCTTTAGCAGTATTCAGACTCGGAGAAGAAGCAAGTCGTTTCGAGGGGTCGACAGGTGGCAAGTTTGGGCTGGGCGAAAAGTGGTTGGCATGGGTTGCAATTTCGAGAGCAAAGCCTTCGGCGGAGTGGAGGCGCTTATGGGAGGTTGCGGGCGTATGCGGGACAAAATCAGGAAATCGAGCAGGTGAAGCTTTGAGGTTGCCAGGTGTAGCGTTGAAGACGGAATATTCCTCGGCGAAGCAAGGTGTTGAGCTACCCAAGTCGGTGAAGGAACCGTGCGGCTGCCGGGGTGTCTCGAAGACGGGACTGGCAAATTCAGCAGATGTCGGAGTGTGCAGCGGGGTAGGCGGTTGAGCGTTTGGATCTCCAAAGCTTCTATTGAGAGGAGAATGGTTAGTTTCTGCAAACGAGTGCGTAATGGGGGAGAAACGAGAGGTTAAGGCGAGGGAGCACTAACGTTGAATCACGACGAGCGTCGGTCATAGCAGCTCCAAAGTAACGCTGGCTATCGCAGCGGCAGGTGACATGCCAGATGTAACCAGAAGACAGACAGCAAGTAAGTACTGCAAGAGGCAAAAAGATTGAGGGGCAAGTCGCAATTTGTCTCGAGACGGGAATGCTTCTTTGCTTCGAGGTTCTTTTTTTTCTCGGGCGGGTATGTAGTCTGGACCGTATGTGGGGATTGGTGGTGTGTCACAGCAACGACGATGATACGAATCGAGCAAGTTGAATATGGACAGAATAGAAGGTTTAAAGGCGGCTCCGGAGAAAGACGAGCAGAAATTCGACAAAAACGCTATTTGGATGGAAGAAACGAAGCGAACGAGGGAGTTGAGGGATTGATATCGGAAGCGGCGAAGTCGAGCAATCTAGAAGGACGAGCAAACACAGCCTGCCAAGCAAGGGTGGTCAATGGTCAAAACTCGAGAGTAAGCGGGCGGTGGAAAAGCGGGTGGAAACCAAGGGAGGAGCAGGGAGCACGGAATAGTGAGTGGAGGAGGAGAATAAAGAGCAAGCAAGCAAGAACATGCCACAAAGAGAAATGAGGGCGAATAGGGCAGAAGAGGGGAGCGACGGGGAATTTAGCCTACCGATAGCAAGACAGGGCGAAAGCAGGATTTGGATGGTGAGGAGAGGAGCCAGTCGCCGAGGCGGCGCAGGAACAAGGCGAGGGAAGGGAGGGAGGGAGTGGTGTTGAGCGAGGGACCAGGCCAGGGACGGGTCTGGGCGGTGGTGATCTAGGGTAACTGCCTAGACCAAGAGAAGAAGCGATGATAAAGGTAAACGAGAATTGGACGTGTCCAGCAAAAAAATGTTGAAAGACTCAAAATGTGTTTGATCGAGGTTTTGGTGAATGCTGGCCAGGGCTGGATACCTAAGGTAGTGTAAGGTGAGATGGCTACCTACTCACATCCAGGTAATGCTGCAATTGATATTTTATCAAGATATTAGCCACCTTGTACATAGCAGTAACAGTACGACGGCTGTACCACGTACGTTACCATGGGTAGCCGGCTGAGATAGCTGCTGCGCAATGGCCGTCGGGCTGAGGGCAAGGGAGTACCTGACCCGAGGGCGGGAAGCTAGGCGGGAAGGAGGTATCCCCGCGACAGAAGCACGACAGAGGCACGACAGGGGGGACGATTACACTACGGCGAGACAAAGTTGCATTTTGCATTTGCTTTTTTGTCTGGCCGGGAGGGGGAATACTGGTACGGAGGAGAAAGGCAGCCAGCAAGTTCACACTCCACACAACTTGGCACAGAAAAAGCCAACCAACCAGCCAAACCACCACCGACCACGAAAGAAGTCGGTCCATACGGTATCCAGCTCTGGCTAGCACCAGCACTAACTGCGGATGGCACGCTGTGAATAGTCCGTCTCCAGCATCCTACTGGCTGGACGACGCTCGCTCGGGCTGGGGGAATCCTGATTAGCGGCATCTGCGCCCTGGCTAGCTGATTGTTTGGCTGGAACGGGACGCTACGGGGAGCTTGTGTCCACCGCATGAGACGTAAAAAAAAGAAGGGGAAGGGAAAAATAAGGACCTGCTTCAGCTGGGAGACGGGAGGGCCAGTCAATATGCGCGGCGGACTATTTCTGTTGCAGGCGGCAGATGCAGGAGGTGGTGTTTTGGACAAAGTCATACAGAATAATTGATAGGAAGATATTCGCCATGCGGACAAGGTACAAACAAGGCACGGAGAACGGAGTACAGAGTACGGAGTGCTTCCTCCGGGCCAGCCAGCCCTGCCACAACAGCCACAGCGAAAGAGGCTGGTGCATGCATACAGGCATCATCACCAGCATGACATGACAGCACCAACAGCAAAAATACATTCAATATTTACCCATTTCACGTGAAACTCCACCACTCCTCCGGCACTCCTGAACTTTGCATCTCTCGCCATCCGAATCTTCAAGATTCCTTCTCCGATTCCTTCCTCTACTCAGCTAGTCCAAAGCCCGCCAGTATCAAAGTATCCTCCCCTACCACTCGAACCTGTTCCTTCCTTTTGCTCTTCCTCCAACGACTCTCCGCAGATGCTACTTTTCCCTCGTTTACTCACCACTTCTTATTATGAGCATAATAGACCCTCTCGGCGCCGTCATCAAGAAAATCACTGTGGAGTCGCAAGGCAGCCACCTCGGTCCTCCGCTCACAACCGTCAGCCAACCGCCGGCGCCGTCTTCCCTTGGCTCCAGACACCCGGCTTCCTCCTGAGAGGGCAAGATAACCACTCGCAATTTGCCCGTCCATCAATGTCGTCCGTCAATGTCGTCCGTCTTTTGAGTTTTGGTCCCCCAACCCCCCTTCCAATCAAGGGAGGGAGACAGCATATCTGCGTGCTAGCATCAAACGAATTGCGCCACGAAGCCACCCATTCGCCTATTTGTGGCCCTGTCGGCGATGAAGAAACAATTCATGCCAAGCCCCCTCAATGCCACTCTCGGCTCTGCCCATTGTCCCAGTCCCCTGGGAGCACATCTAGATCCCATTGGTGCCGGCGCCGACACTACCGCATAAGCCGTGCCGTCGGAAGTGCCACACCAACCGAGACTTACTCCGCGCGCCCAACGCAAGGCCCAATTATCACGACCTCGTATCCGTTGCCGCCCTCAACGGAGCCTGACGGGTTCTCGCTGAAGAGCCCTCGTGCACTTGAACGTGGGATCTTTGCCCTCTGCCTCCGGCCCGGCACCGAGAGCCACCGCCTTTGATGTGTCGCATTTACGAACCATGCCATCGGAACGGATGAGAATCGGGCTGAGTGGCCCCAAATCTCCTTGCACCACCCGTTCGCAGCCGCCTCGTACGACTTGTCGCAACACCCCGTCGCACAGTCTCCCATCACGACGACTTGCGCCATGCAACCTGGAGAAACGAGCCCCATGTCGAAGGCAAGCACCGTCTCACATGAAGGGAGCTCACAGGTATGTCGCCACAGACGCTATTCTTTGATTAGTTAGAAGATCGCGGGAAGGATGGTGCTAAGCACCATTTGAGACAATGTAATCTCTCAACTCACCCTCGAAGTCCCTCCGAAAACTCAAAGCTGGTGGCGGGGTAGCTTGTCCGAGGAGCATGAGAAAAATCCCGATGAGTGCCCTGGTATTGTTCGTCGTTGTACGGCATTGGTTCGCCTCTATGGCCAATATCTTGCCCAGCTTGGCACAGCTTCATGTCTGAACCGAGACAATGTCTATTGAACCCTCGGATCGGGCTTTCGGCTTTGCCTCTCTTCTGTCTAGTCTTGATTAGGCTGACAAAGAATGTGGTGGCAACTCGTGCCGTGTGGCAAAGGTCGAGTCTCGGGTTGTAAGACAACAAGTCAGCACCGCAGAGCAGAAGATACGAGAGCAAGACATGACGACAATGAGGGCCCCAATTGAGTCGTCGCCTATCCATTCTTGTAGGTACCGCTTCGTCTCTCACAGGGCATTATCTTTTGCTACACACATTATCTTTCCTTGGATGCCGATGAGATGCCAACGGCTGACTGTCAGCACCCGCTGGTCAAGACGATGAGAGCCTCGCACGCCGCCAAAGCACCGACGGCAACCAACACTGCTCTTGTTGGAGGATCCGCAGTTTCTTCAGTAGTGTCAGGAACACCCGCAACGTGTCGTTTGGCAGCCTTGCTGATTCCGACAAGTTGGCCGTGGTACGATGTCGATGACCCACAGCTCGGAACCATTTGTGAACTCTGGTGGTGAACCTGCAAGCAAGGGGGATGCAACATCGGCGACCAAACCCATGTAAGGTTTTCAGTCAAACCTTGCGATTCCGGGGGTTAAAGTGCTGTGTGCTTTCTGCTCGCTGCAACATGCTGGTAAAAGATACTCACTCGCATGCTCCCCAACATCCATCCGTATTTGAGTATGCAGGACAAGCAAGGATCCTAACTATCTACTACCCCGGACTCGCTCCCATTACGGAAAGTAGCAGAAATCCCATGGTCGGTTCAGGGTTGGGTTTCCACCAGACAGGGGTCTGCGGCATCGGGCTCGCAGTTCGCCATCGAGCCCTTTCGGCTTGATATCCAGTAACTCGGGCCTGTTACGCAATAAACACCCGCACTCGCTCACTCGGCCGATGGTGGTTTCCTTGTTCTGCTGAAAAGCCAATGCTGATCCGTAAGCTAGCTGCTGTCCTATCCAGTCGGACAAAAACCTGCGTTTCTGCGGGATGGGGAATGTGGAAATTGCACCTCTCCACCACCCATCGCGATCTGTCTCTCCTCCCTGGTCAGTTGGCCTAGCAGCCTCTTCCGTCCAAAGATGGGATGCCTGCATGTCCTGCTGGCCGGAAGATGTTAAAGAGGCTTTTGGGTAGGGTTACGGTAGAAATGAACGTATTTGTCTGGCCTTGGAAGGTCATCTTGATGGTGGTGGTGATGCTCCGGCGAACTGCACCGATGTGGAGACCAGAAGCAAACGAATAACCTAATTGCTCTAGTCTGCATAGAGAAATTATTGTTGGAAAGTTGTAAGCCGATTCTAGAACCCATCGTACGTTGCCGATGGCTCATTACAATTGGATGATACGCTGCAGTAGCCAGCCATTGAGAGCTTTCCTGCCAGGAGGCGATTCTGCGCTACCGGGGAGGATGAGGAGTGAGGAGCCTACTAATGACTGTCATATCACGGTATTCTCGCTTAGATCTGTAGCAGAACAGCGGTCGACATGATCAAATACAGCGTGCATCGTCTCCACGGAGGTGCTGAGGAAAGAAGGACACAACTTAATTCACATAAAAGAATGAGTTGAATGACGGCAGCGTATGAAGGATGCTTTCTGCGTATTTTGGGGAAAGACTTGACTGCTCCGCCATTTCCTGCCAATCAGCTGTTAAAGTTCCCCAACAGTGGCATGTCGTTCCCTCGACATTCACGGGGGAAGTCTCGTCGCTAGCTCAACTGCCAGTGCGAGATGAACGAAATTCGAAGCTTCGAAGGCGCTAGGAAAAGCGCAAAAAAAA